TAAGACAGGGCCTTACTAAGTTGCTCAGAGCCTCGATAAGTTACTGAGGCTGGCTTTGAACTCGCTATCCTCCTGCCTCAGCCTCTGAGCTGCTGGGATTACAGGCATGTAACATTATTTCCAGCCAGTTCTCACTTTTTACTTTTATAATTCTGAACTTTTGATTTGAGGAGAGTACAGGGAATGAACTGGGGGGTGCTTTACCAACTGAACTACATTCTCTCTTTTTTTTCCCCATAGAGGGTCTTGCTAAATTGCTAAGGCTGGCCTTCAACTTGATTGAGATCCTCCTACCTCACCCTCCCAAGTCACTGGGTTATAGGCGTGTGCCATCATGCCCAGCTAAGAATAAAAATCTTAACCATTTATCTCCCCTGGTCTTCACTATGGAAAAATCTAACTTCCTTGGCCTAGCATTTAAGATTCTCTTTTAAGACCTGTCTTCCTTTCTAGTCCCATTTTCTACAATTTGTCGTCTCCTATTTTACAGTCTTTACATTTTACAATCTTTTAAATTCATATTTCCATGCTGTGCTGTTGCTGGACAGCCCTTAGCCTCTTTTTCTGCCTGGTTTCATGGAGCTGACCCTTCAAGGCCAGATCAGGAATCTCCTTCAGATTGGGATAAGTGCTCCTCTGAGTTCCCATTACATGTCTGTATTATTACCTGCCACATTATATTGCAAATCAACTGTCTTTTATGCTAAATTAAAAGTTCTTTGAAAGCAGAAATCCTGTTGTTTGTCCTTGAACTTCTGTGTCGACCTTATACAGTACCTGGCACCCAGTAGAAGTTGTTCATTAAATGTTGAATGATTCATGTCTGTATGTTCCCCATGATTCTGTGCTGTTGGTACACAGAGAATACAGGGGAGGAAGGAATCCTCTCTATGAGAAGTGGGAGTACAGGTGGGGAAAGGAAGGCTTCTTAGAAGAGGTTACATTTAAAGTGGGCTTTGAAAGATAACTAGGATTTCATCCAGCAGAGAGGGGCTCAGAGACAGATTCTGATTTTGTCCTCATGCATTGTACGCTAGCCAGAACTGGCTCTTCTGATAGTGAAACTCTGGTTATGGAATAGATAAAGCAAAAACTGAAAATCCTGGGCTGGGAATGTGGCTTAGTGCTAGGACCCTTGCCTGGCATGTGCAAGGCCCTGAATTTGATCCCTAACACACATATATATGAAAAGAGGCATGTGCTACAATGCCTCTGGGCATAGTAGCACATGCCTGTAATCCCAGCTACTTGGGAGGCTGAGTCAGGAGGATCATGAGTTAGAAGCCAACCTGGGCAATTTAGTGAGACCCTGTCTCAAAGTAATGTGAAAAAGCCTGGGGATGTAACTCAGTGGTAGAGCATTGCCTAGTATGTGTCTTGGGTTTAATCCCCTGTACTGGGAAGGGACTGGGGGAACTTTAAAAGTTCAGAGCCACAGATTTCTTCATGATAGCACATTTAGAATTCTTATTTTCCTTCAGTATGGTGAGATTGCATTCACATTTTAGCTTGCCATGTTTTAGAAACTAAAAGCACAGTCAGCCATTCAGCACTTTGGATTGGTATTGTGGCTATTTAGGAGACTGGAACCCCTACTTGGGTCATTAGGGAATCATGATCTGATACTGGGTTTTCTCACTGGTGGCATTCAGGAGCTTTAGGACTCCCACTCAGACTTCAATAAGAGCAGCTGCACATTTTTAAAAATTGGTTTTACCTGTTCTACTTCCATGTAACATTTTGTTTGAAGAGTTCTACTAAAGGGGGGAAAAAGAAACTATCAAACTACTCTGAAATCTTGTAAAATGTCCCATCAGGACATTCTGTTAAGGATGTTGTGGTGGGTCTTGGGTCTGTGTTGGTAGTCTGAATGGGTAATTGAGTCTCCAACTGGAATTATGTTTCAAATTTCCTCCAAGTTTAAAACAGGATATTTAGATTTGGCGGGGGGTGGGGGGTACCAGGGATTAAACTTGGGCTCTGAATCACTGGCCACATCCCCAGACCTTTTTGATATTTTATTTAAAGACAGTATCTCACTGAATTGCTTAGCACCTTCCCATTGCTGAGGCTAGATTTGAACTCAAGATCTTCCTGCCTCTGCCTCCTGAACTGCTGGGATTACGGGCATGTGCCACAGTGCCCAGCTGATATTTTATTTATTTTTAAAAAAACAAAGCTCGTTTTTTATTTTTCATTTTGAGTCGGGATCTCTCTAAGTTGTTTGGGGCCTTGTTATGTTGCTGAGTCTGGCTTTGAACCTGTGATCCTCCTGCCTCAACCTCTAAAACCACTGGGATTAAAGTCATGTGCCTCTGCACCCAGTTTAAGGATTATTCTTAACACAGTAGTCGAAAAAACTCATTTGAAACTGAGGTAGTGTCACTCCTCTTCATAAAAACCTCTAGCAATTACCCATTTTAGTTCTAATAAAATTAAAATTCCTAAAAATGCACTGCAAGGCTCCTGGTGACTTGGGGCCTCTCTGACTTCCTCTTCTACACTAGTCCTTTCTCAGTGGGCATCAGGCACACTGGACTCATCACTAGGCAAAACCTTGTCCTGGGTACTTTGCCTTGCTATTACTTCTTTTAAAGCCTCTTTCAGATCCCACCTCAGTGGAGCATGCTCTGAAGTTGTCTAAAATCGCAATATGCCTTTCTTCCCCCTTAACTTTTGTTCCCTCTACCCTGACCATCTCTTTTTCAAACAGCTGTACTGAAGTATAATTGCAAAATAACCACTGTATTTAGCATGTGTAATTTGTAAGTTTTGACAAATTTATAACCTCTGAAACTATCATAATCAATAAAACGAGCATTGTCACCAATAGAAAAAAAAGGCTTCACTATCACTGCCCATGCTGGTCTTCAACTTGTGAGCTGCCTCAGCATCTTAAGAAGTTGGGTCTGCAGGCATGTACTCTATTGCTGGCTTAGATGATTACCTTCTTAAAAGTCCTCTAACATGGGCTGGGGTTGTAGCTTAGTGGTAGAGCGCTTGCCTAGCATGTGTGAGGCACTGGGTTCGATCCTCAGCACCATGTAAAAATAAATAAATCAAATGTATTGTGTTCATCTACAACTAAAAAAAAAAAAAAATAAAGTTTTCTAGGGGATGGGGTTGTGGCTCAGTGGCAGAACACTTTCCTAGCTTGTGTGAGGCACTGAGTTCGATCCCCAGCACCACATATAAATAAATAAAAAATAAAGGTGCATCAACAACTAAAACATTAAAAAAAAAAAAAAGTCCTCTAACATGGCTTAGCAATCTAAAGAATCTCTTTATAACAACTTAGAATTTTAGCTCATTTAATCCTTACGGTAACTTTTAGCTCATTTAATCCTTACGATAATAACTACATTTTCTTGTAGTAAATGTAGTTATTATCCCCAGTTTATAGATGAGAGTAAGGCTGAGAGACTGTGACTTGCAAAGGAGTACACAGGTACAAATAGAGCCGAGACATAAACTTCTAACTTGAAGTCTGCGTTTTTGTCCTATAGTACAGTTCTGAGTTTGTCAAGGTCCTGAACTGATGTAACAGTGGGAAAACATTTACCCTACCTCATCTCATTCCTCTTAAAAAAGAGATCCCATGTTACCAGTTCTTTACATTAGGGGTTTTCTATCTGTAAGCTTCTAAACACACTTTCTTTTCCTTTTTTTTTTTTTTTTTTTTTTTTGGTACTARGGATTGAACCCAGGGGTGCTTTAGCTCGAAACTACATTCCCAGTTCTTTTTATTGTATTTGAAACAGGATTTTGCCCTGAACTTGTGATCCTTCTGCATCAGTTTCCTGAGTCATTGGAACTACTGGCACATACCACTGTTCCTAGTGCAAACACAGTTTCCTTCCTTCTTTCTGTCCTTCCTTCCTTCTGTACTGGGGATTGAACCCAGGTGCTTAATCACTGAGCCACATCTCTAGCCCTTTTTTATTTTTTATTTTGAGATAGTGTCTCTCTAAATTGCTGAGGGCCTCATTAGTTGCTTAGGCTAGCTTCAAACTTGAATCCTTTCTGCCCCAACCTCCTGAGTCACTGGGATTACAGGTGTGTGCCACTGCAGCCAGCTCCAAACTCAATTTTCTGTTACCTGGTAGAGCATGATATAGAATCATTTGTGTAGGAACATAGTCATATTATGGACAAGGATCAAATAGGATCCTCCACTTGCAGAGTAGAAATGTGGTTTGTTAACCAATTTGACTCCTTTGAGCTCAGGAGCTTTTCATAGTGTTTAAAATCACGGGACTATTCAGTATGCAAGGCCTTGCTCCTTCCCTGATTAGAAACTCCTTATTGACTTAAATTTACTAGCAATTCGAAATAAGCTGTTGATTGATCTTATCCTTACTTTGCAGGTTATACTGGAAAGGTAAGCTGCACTCCACTCTAAAGGTGCAGTTTTTGCCTTTCAGAGTAATCCCCCGCCCCAATAAGGACTAAGCATTAATGTAGTTTAGAAGCTAAACATGACAGCCTACTTTAAATAGTTCTCAAAAAAATTATCTTTGGATTGGGCATAGTCATTTATGCCTGCCTTCACCTTGCAAGTATGAAACTCAGATGGTATATTTATTCATATGCACTACTTCTCATTCCTAGTAAGAATGTGGCCTTGTGGCTTGGAATGACAATATGGAAGTAGTGTCAAATTGCTGTAATGTTTCTTTGGCTGCAAATTCTCCTTGCATTCCAGGGTTGAAAATACAGAACTCTTTTCTTTTTCTAAAAAAACAAAACATTGTAGAAAGAGTCCACTGGTATGTTGTTTTCAGGGAGGGTTTGAAAGCTTCAGCTTTACACTTGTTTCCTGAGATGTAGTGGTTTGGTGGTAGTGGTTGTTGTTTGGTGTGTGGGTATGTGTGTGTGTGTGATTGGAGTTTTAATCCAGGGACACTTTACCACGATCATCATCTTTTTTTTTGAGAGAGAGAGAGAGAGAGAGAGAGAGAGAGAGAGAGAGAGAGAGAGAGAGWGAGTCTCACTAAGTTGCTGAGGCTAACTTCAAACTTGCAGTCCTCCTGCCTCAGCCTCCTGAGTTGTTGGGATTACAGGTGTGTACCACTGCACATGACCTGAGATATAGATTTGAAGGGTTTTAACCTACAGCAGAGACTTTGAAAGTTGCAGGTTATAGAACCTAAAGTAACCTTTTCACCCCTTAGAAGAACTTACGTGTCTCTGTTGTAGGATGATGGTAAGTTCAAGGCCGCTTGGAGATAACCCAAATCATCTTGGTTGTTCAATGGATTTTTTTATTTTTTATTTTTTTGTACTAGAGATTTAACCCAGAAGTCACATTCCCCAACCCTTTTTATTTTTTGAGACAGGGTCTCACTAAGTTGTTTAGGGTCTTGCTAAGTTGCTGAGGCTGGTTTTGAACCTGTGATCCTCCTGCTGCTGCTTCCTGATTTGCTAGGATTACATGCATGTGCCACCATGCCTAGCTGTTCAATGAACTTTTGAAGCTCCAGTGAGAAAGTAATTTATTATTTATCATATTAATTGTGGGCACCTTATAGGTTCTCTTAATTCCCAATCTGTTTTTTTTTTTTTTATATTTTTTAGTTGTAGATGGACACAGTACCTTTATTTTATTTTTATGTGGTTCTGGGGATCGAACCCAGTGCCTCACACATGGTAAGCAAGCACTCTACCACTGAGCCACAAACCCAGCCCCTCCCAATCTGTTTTTTGGAACCATTTTACAAGTTGCTTTACAGATAGCAAGGGGATGAGTGCTACAGATAAATGTGTAGACATATTGTCTTTCAGGATTAATTTTTGCATTACACCTATTGATTTTATTCAGCCTGCTTTGAGTGTCATTACCGTTCAGAGAGTTTGCTAAGAAGGCTCTATTAGTTATAAAGCATATTCAGACCACCCAAACTATGGAGACTATATCTCTGGATCTAAGGGGAAGCATAGGTATGTGTGTATGTGTTGGAGGAGTGGGGAATACAATTTTTAGTAGGCAGGTTTTGTGTCCATTTATGACATTCCTAAGCACTAGTGACTTGGTTCCTTTGGTCTTTACAGGTAAATACGCAGAGGACATTTTTGGAGAGCTCTTTACTCAGGCAAATACCTTTGCCTCTCGCGTAAGCACCCTTGCTGAGAGGGTTGACCGACTACAAGTTAAAGTCACTCAGCTGGATCCCAAAGAAGAAGAAGGTAAGGAAGCTGAGCTCAGCATTTATAGGCTCTGGTGAGCAGTTTCTTAGAATTTCTTCTCCTGATTTATAAAAAAGCAAGGAGAAAAATCAGAGACCTATGGAGATATGTTTTGAAATGACATAAACCTGAGAGGTGTAAAGAAACCTTTTTAGTGCTACCACATGCTTCCTTTCTCCACATACTTCCCCATATACTTCCTTTCTTCCATTCCCCCAATTCCTTCATTCTCAAATTTCCTTTCATATTTTGCTACCATTAAAGTACTTGGAAGATTCATTCCACTTAAGAAGAGAGTCTTCTAGATCTGGCTACATAGTAAACCTCTATGTTGCCTCATTTTGTTCAGTCTTGAAATGGCTGGGCTGACAGTCTTGTGGGGCTTCCCCAGAGGAGGAAGGGAAAAAAAAAAACCTGGCTGCAGACAGCTGCAGCCAAGAAATGCAGCAGCTGAGGCCTCTCTGACTGGTGTGACTCAATGTTTGTTCAAATAGCCTGTCGTCCATTTTCTAACGCCTTCCATCTTCTCTCAGTGTCACTACAAGGAATCAACACCCGAAAGGCTTTCAGAAGCTCTACCATTCAAGACCAGAAGCTTTTTGACAGAAATTCTCTCCCAGTGCCTGTCTTAGAAACATACAATACCTGTGATACTCCGCCCCCTCTCAACAATCTCACCCCTTACAGGTAACAATTGCCTAGCCTTTCCTTTTTTTGGTCTATAGTTAACAACACTAGATTGTCTAAAATATCTGAAGATGTTGTTATATCAGGGGATTGTACCAAAAGCTTACTACCTACACAGGAGCTGCTTGAGTAACAGAAGCTAAAGAACCTTAAAAGCTGTTGTCACTTACTATTGTTTGGTTTCTGAAATTCATACTGAATATAATACATATTGAAAGTTTGGTGAAACATTGCATGCTGCAGAGTTTAATTTGGTGTAAGCTAGGTCCATCTTGGGTTTCATCCAAGGAATTTAGTTATTATAGAACCAAAAGGACTTTGTTACAAGGCGGTCCTACAGCATGGATCCCAGGGGCAACGTTCTAGAAAGGCTCCCACACTTATTTGGAAACCACTAGATTACCAGATGTTTGGGTATGTTCATGGAGCCAGCTTCATGAACTGGCTGCTCTGGGCCCAGAGTGGTCCTTCCAAAGCTTAAGGAGTAATTGGCATTCTTCCAAGTTATTGTCATTCACTTTGTTTTGAACATTCTTTCTGTATTTCTTCTGCAAGGACCTACCCTGCTGTGGCTGGACTTGAAAAAGAAGGTAGCCTTAAAGACAATTTAAAAGCACCTCCTTTCCACTAGTGGTTTGGTAGTACAAAACCTCTGAATGGGGCAGAAAGTGAATATTTATCTTGCTTGTATCCTTAAATATCTTTGGGACAGGTAAAAAGTAATTACGGATAGCTGGAGGCAGATGTTTTCTTTATTTTATTTTTATGTGGTGCTGAGAATTGAACCCAGGGCCTCACACGAGCTAGCCGAGCACTCTACCGCTGAGTCACAACCCCCGTCCCTGGAGGCAGATGTTTTCTATCAGACATGAATACACTGCAAAGCAGTATGTGTGTGTGTGTGTGTGTGTGTGTGTGTACGCGCGCCCGCATTGTGTGTGTGTGTCCCTCCCTGTGAAATTCAAGGATACCATTCCGATTCAGGGACCATGAAATGGGAACTTGGTAGTTTCTCACACAGAGAAAGTACAAAGCATCCACCCTTTTTTATTACTGTATGAAATTATGCTTGCCCCTTGGCTTTTAAAGGGACTAGTAAACATAGCAGGGCAGAACTTTGACTTAATAGTCTCCATTCTGTAGTCTAGTGGGCTGTGGGCAGAGAAGTATGGGGCAGAAAGGGGTCACACACCTGATAACATTATGGGGAATGTTATACAGGTGGTTTGTGTGGTAAGATAGTTTTATTGTTCAGATAACTTTATTTTTCAGGGAATGGTATTTTCTTTGTGAACATACAATATCAGAATTAGCATCTCCTCTTATTTTTCTGGACTTGATCTAAGAGAAACAACAGTAGGATATCCAACTCTGAACAAGATTTAATATGAAATTTATTAGTGTTTGATTTGGAAACATTTTCTCTGTGTTGTGATAGGATTGGAAGGTAGAAAATAAAATTGCCTTTCCAATACTTTTTTTGTTCWGAATAATGTTAAAATAAATGTTCACCCTGAAGCACGTGCTTTCTGGACAGTGAGGGGCTTAGCCATGCCAAAGTGATCATTAAGTCTGGCAGATGGCACCTTATATTGACATTCAATAGCTCACTATGTAGCACTGTCATAGTCATTAAGAGATGGTGAGTAAACCTTGTAGTCTTAAAACTGCTGGCCATCTGTTCTCATTGAGGCCCCCTTGTGGTGGGGGTGAGGGTGGATGCTGCACTATTGTAGAAGGAAGCAAAAAGGTACAGTGCAGTGGTTATCTGTGTATAGAGAAATAACAGCTGTACACACATACATACATTTGTTTATATTTGTGTATACATGTAAACCTGTATATGAGTGTACAGGTTTCAGGTGGGTTGAAGGCCACTGAAGAGTCCTGGGGAATTGGTAGGGAAAGAGGAAACAGTAACAGAAATCCCCTTGGATGTGCTAGCATATCCAGATGTCCTCAGGGAGCTGTCTGTGGCCATGCAGATCATTGAAAATAATCAGAATCTCTGCTGCTGTAGTTTATTCTTGCCCTAACCATGCCAATTCCTCTATCAGGAATTGAAAGTAATGAGAAAGTTCTTAAGAAGTAGAGAGGTGCCATTCAGGGGCATTGAAATGCAGGTAAGGAGAGGAAATATGCAATCGATTTGAATGACTACTTGATTCTTTGGTGTAAAAACTGCTAACTGGTAGGTGTTTGGAATATTGGATTTGGTTGGGAGCTCATCTGTCTACTGACAGCTACTTGTCTTCATTTCTATCCCAGGGATGATGGAAAAGAGGCACTCAAATTCTACACCGACCCTTCATACTTCTTTGATCTTTGGAAGGAGAAGATGCTGCAGGACACCAAGGATATCATGAAAGAGAAGAGAAAGCATAGGGTGAGGGGAAAGGGGCCTCTGTTCTACACATCAGTAGGCACGATTGTGGAGGGGGGATAAAAAGGAAGCCAGTCTTATGTGAAGTAATTCCGAAAGGCTGCTTGCTTGGATGCCAGGTGAAACTCTTAAAAAAAATGTGTCCACACCAAGCACCACCAAGATGAAAGTATAAATCACACCAAAAATGTGTTTGTTCCCCCTGGTGCTATTAACAATTGAGTATATTCAGGCTGAGTTTTAGAAATTGACTTTTCTATTCACCATTTATTTCTCTTGCAATTTGCACCTGACTCTGCTGGACACTTGAGCTAGGCTAGTCCCTTCCCCGCCAGTTTTGCAGCTCATTTCTCAGAGACTAGCACGGGTTCTGCAGTGTTTGATTTGCAACAGGAGCAGTTTAACACCTTCGTTCCTGCTTGGTTAGCACCAGGGGAGTGGATATGTCTGGTTTGTGGATATGCCCCTTTCTCCTAGGCTCCTGGTGCTATGTGTGTGACCTACCAGTTTTGACCTCACAATCCCATTAGCATGGCTGCCAGCAGGCCCAAGAGAATGCCATAGGCTAGTCCAGCTTCACAGGATGGAAAATTCTTCCGTGGTTTTGTTTTGTTTTTTAAATATTTCCTTATATCTGTCCCAGATATCTGCAGCTGTCATTCTATCTCATCTCTCTTAACTGTTCTTTGTGGCAGAGCAAGTAACAAATGACTGGTTACTAACTTCCTAACAATTAGAGCTTTTCAAAGACATGAAAGAGTTACTCAGAGAGGTAGTAGTCTTCCCATTGCTAGAAGTGTTTAAATGTGGGACTGAGCAAGTGTTTTGCCTAGAAGGTGGTTTGAATTAGACGACCTCTAGGTCACCCCAGACCTAGTAATTCTATAAATTCTGCTCTTATCATATGTTGTTGTCTAGATAAATCATCTCTTAAATATACATCTTTGAATATGGGTGGAATTTTAATGAAGAACTTTGGAAAATAGTTCCCAAAGATTTTTTTGTTGTTGTTCCTTTTCATTATAGAAAGAAAAGAAAGATAATCCAAATCGAGGGAATGTAAACCCACGTAAAATCAAGACACGTAAAGAAGAATGGGAGAAAATGAAGATGGGACAAGAATTTGTGGAGTCCAAAGAAAAGCTGGGGCCTTCTGGGTAAGTGAAGCATTCTTTGAAGGATCTGGGGATCTGGGGACAATAGTCTGACAGCTCTGGCATGACACCTTTTACACCCCCTGAAATCTGGCTTTGTTGTTTTGATCAATACTGCTATTAATCAGCTACTTTTAAGTGCATCCATCTGGTGATTAAAATTTGCTAAATAAATCAAAGAGACTCAGCAATTTAAATGAGGTAACTGGAGTGGTCTGGAAAAGAAGGCCCATGGCTTCTAGTGCCCTTACTCTGCCAAACACTAGTATGTCTGAGGGTCTCAGAGGAAAAATTGGAAGGGGAAGAAAAGTGGTCTTGGGAGCCTTTTGCCTCCAGAGCATGGTTTGAAGGTCATACCTAAGAGCCAAGCATTTTGAGGGAGTGAGGAAGGCCAGGCAAAGAAATTGTGCACATCACCAGAGCAACTTTTCAGCCAGCTTTTGTCAGTCTTAGAGAGAAGCTAGCCAAGGAGTTGAATGCAGATCTCAGAGTCAGTGTGGGAAAGGTTGCTTGGCTACTGTGGAGGCTATATATCTCTGTGGAGAAATGGGAGATGTCAGTCTGACCCCATTTCCCAATACCAAATCACACTGGAAGTTTAAAGGGGAAAAATGGTGTTTAAACTTGGTTTGATGTTCTTATCCTGTTGTCTGACCTATATGACATTCATAGCCAAGTCACCAGGACTGTTTGGCATGAATGTTGCTCTGGTTTTTCCTCTAATTACATTGTATCCGGGTTGTCAGAGAACCATGCCCGCCCATGCAGGGTGTCTAGGATTGATAAAAGTAAAGAGTTAAGTTGTTCTTGCTTTTAGGAATAACTCTACCATGAAAATCTTGACTTTTAAAAATCTTGACACTTGTTCTTCCTGGATTAAGAGATTTGTTTTAAAGAGTGATGAAGATAGAAGAAAGGTGAACCTTTCTTTCTTTCTTTCAGCCCTGAGGGTGTCTTCATTACCTTCACCTCCCAATAAAAGGGGCTATTTTGTTCTGTGGTCCCATCCTCTTCAGACAGGCATTTATCATAGGTTTAGTGACTTTAAGGCCAGAAGCTTATATGTTCATAATATCAGCTATTATGTATGTCTTTTTTTGTGGGATAGGGGTGGTGAATATGAGGAGTTTGCCTCTCATTTTCTCATTGTCCAGGAGTTTGGAGTTGGGCTGCTGGCTAGTCTATCTGGACATACTTGTTGGTGAACCTATCAAGAGATGTGCCCAGCCTACACAGCTCCAGGCTTTGGGGATTTTCCACATCAGAGCATCATTTGATTCAGTTAGTTCCCTCCAATTCTGTTCTCCCTGGGATCTGTTTTTGATGAGGTCTTTAGAACCCAACAATGGTGGAAAGAAGGGGGAAGTGGGCAGAGCAGAACAGATTTTGCTAGCTGACGCTTGGTATATTTGTGCTTGTATGGAAACTTATTGCTTGATGTATTTATGCTTTTTTTGAAGTTTTGATGTTGTTCACCCAGAGCAAATTCCCCCAAGGCCAAGTTCTCTGAGGCAGATTTTCATGAGGCAAGCCCTAACACCCTACTTTTAATCGGCAGCTCATTTTGTTTGATAAGAGACCTGGCAGAGAGATCTCATTTACTACCACACAGCAACCTGCATTCAGCCTTGGCTTGATTTTGCAATCAAATGCCTCCTTGGCCTTTGAGTACTCTAGAGGCTTGCCGACCTCAAAATCAGGCTGCATGCCAGTCACATGTTTGTAGCTCACTGGCCTATAGACTTGCCTTCACTCCTTGCACAAGACCGGCTTTGGGATTCAGGTATGGCTGCAACTAACACTCAGAAGAAAATGTAAAAGATTTTGGTTTGACAAAGCTGGCACTGGGAAAGAAACAACAGGGTTTTGGTAATATGGATTGAATCCCGTTATTACAAACAGTCCATCAGAAATGACTGGGATATACATAACAGTACAATATTTAGTCCTTAAATAAAATTTCAGGAAAATCTGCTTATTTCTCCCTAATAGCTTTTGTATCAAATGCATTTTGTGGACTTTTTTTAAGAAAATACTACTCAGACTCTTTAAATGACAGTTTTTGGCATTGGGTTTATTGTCAGGTATTCACCTGCCTTAGTGTACCAGAATGGCAGCATTGGCTCTATTGAAAATGTGGATGTAGGCAGCTATCCACCACCACCACAGTCAGACTCCGCCTCTTCACCTTCACCTTCTTTCTCTGAGGAGAACTTGCCTCCCCCACCAGCAGAATTCAGGTAAATGGTGGAACCTCTCCCCTCTAAGAACATCCAAAAACAAAATAAAAGTTCAAAATCTGGGCCAGGACTACTAAAATAAGTTCAGGCAAGACAGCCTGTATAATAGAAGTAGTTATCATTTATCAGATGTTTGCAAGGTGCTAGGCATTGTGCTACACACCATTTATGTTGCTTAATGCCCACAAGAGTCCTTTTGAGTTAGGCACTCTTATTCCCATGTTACAGATGAGTAAAATGCGAGGCAGACAATGAATTTCCCTAAAGTCACACAGCCAAAAAGAGACAGAGCCACAATTGACCACTCTAATTCCCAAGACTGTGTTCTTAACTATTCAATATTCTGTCTATACCTGAACAAATAGAAGTCACCAATTGTTCTTGTTTTTTTCACTTAGCTTTAACTCAGTCTGAAATGTTGTGTTACAATCTGCTGGCCATAAAATACTTATCAGACACTTTGCCCACAATCTAGGAACCTTGCAAATAGTTACTTCCCTCTCCTATTGCCTCTGGTTCATTTCGCTGCTGGGTAGACTCTCCAGAAAGAATGAAGCTAAGGGAAAGGGGGTAAAACTTAGACTCTGTCCATTTTGATATTTGTCAGTGTCCCTGGCAGAGGGGAACAGAGGAAAAGATTGCTTATAATGGCTGAAAAGAGACCTGAGAATTTTTTGGATTACACTGTTTTCTCAGTTGCTTTTTGTCTTTCTAATGTCTGACAAATGAAAGCTTTGAAAAATGCACTTTACTCCCTGGACACTGTTTAATTAGCAACTGAATATGTTGAGGCCCCCTCAAATGGAGACTTAAAGTACTGATGCCCCTATTCTTCTTGGCCCTTGAAACCACTAATCCCAAATCTCCTGCCTCCCAGATCACTTCCTGCTGGTTACCCTGTCAGATGCAGCTAAGGCTTGAAGGTCTGTGGAAAATTCCAAGATGGATGCTTTCCTAAGGAGTAGCTATTAGTGCAGGGCAGATGCAAAGGTGGTAAAAGAAAACCCTCAGTCTCACACATGGCCTGAGACCTTGTAGCTACAACTGCACAAATCTGATCCCAGGAGAAGGGGAGGCTTAATCCTCTTTCAAACCTAGATCAAGAATTGGTGGCACATGCATTTCATGTCTCAGATCCTCAAATGGAGGCTTATTCTCTCTCAAGTGAAGATGCATGCACCTAAATCAGGTGCACCTGACTCAGGTTTGGTCAGCTCAAAATAGGTTTCCTGCCTTCATCAGATCTGGTGAATGTTAATAGCCTGAGACACAGCCCAGTGGGAGGGTAGTATTTGAATTTTCATTCCAGTTCTTTCTTATGTGCATTCTTAGTCCTTTCTATTTGAGACACGATGAAATATTAGAGTCAACCAAAAGGAGCCTAAGTTACAAGCCTACCTTTAGATGGGTGTTCACTTCCTGAGAGTGATGATGGGTCTCTTTTCTTTGGCCTTATAGCTATCCAGCAGACAACCAAAGAGGATCTGGCTTGGCTGGACCCAAAAGATCCAGCGTGGTTAGCCCAAGCCATCCACCCCCAGCTCCTCCTCTGGGTTCTCCACCAGGCCCCAAACCTGGGTTTGCTCCACCACCTGCCCCTCCTCCTCCACCTCCAATGGGCATTCCACCTCCACCACCACCCATAGGATTTGGGTCTCCAGGGACCCCTCCACCACCTTCACCCCCATCTTTTCCACCTCACCCTGATTTTGCTGCCCCTCCACCACCTCCCCTGCCACCTGCAGTGGACTACCCCACTCTGCCACCACCTCCCTTGTCCCAACCAGTAGGCGGTGCGCCTCCCCCTCCCCCTCCCCCTCCCCCTCCAGGACCTCCACCTCTCCCTTTCAGTGGTGGGGATGGCCAGCCTGCCATACCACCACCGCCGCTTTCTGATGCCACCAAGCCCAAGTCCTCCTTGCCTGCTGTGAGTGATGCCCGTAGCGACCTGCTTTCTGCCATCCGTCAAGGTAAATCCCAGTGGGTGGGTTTGGGACCATGAAGCCTTGTTTTTCTGAAGCTGGGAAAAGGGATCTGAGCCTTTTCCAGAGAATGGCTTTCATTGAGTTGTGGAGAGGTTGGAACTTCAGATCTCAGCAGACTGAAAAAAAGACTTCACACCCTGAAAATATGAGATTTCTTTCCACATTAGTCTAAAGTAAAGAATTCTTAACTTGGCATCTTGGATCTTCTTGAAAATGTATACTTTGCTGTGCAGGTGGTGAACACCTTTAATCCCAGCAACTTATCGAGGGCCCAAGCAACTTAACAAGATCCTGTCTCAAAAAAAATGTGGCTCAGTGGTTAAGCCCCGCTGGGTTCAGTTCCTGGTACCAAAAAAGAAAATGTATGCTGTGTGTGCATGCGCGCACCTGTATTTTTTTCCCATTTAGAAAGTATCCCCATTTTTCCTCAGGTACCCAGGAAATATCAAGAGTCACAGTCCCAGAGAGCCCCTATTTAGCTGCACTCTGTCACTCCCTGTGCTTTTCCATTGCTCCACCTTTTCTATACTCCCTCCCTCCGCCCTCTTTTCTTTTTCTCCCTATTTCCACTTATCCCCTTTCCTTTTATCCCCTTCTATATTTTCTCCCTTTCCCTTCCTTTATCCTCCCCCCTCCTCTCTCTGTCATCATCTCACCAGCCTGGAACATTTATTCTCTGCCAGTGGCCAGGTCTGGTCCGTAGGGGGTTGGAGTGGTTGGTTATGTTCGTGATTCTCAAGGGACTTCTAGTATAGAGAAGACAATCCAGAGCTGCTGAGCCCCATAAACGGTCATTGGACTTGGACAGCCCGAGTCCCACTCTAAGCTTTGTGAGAAAGTATCATCCTCAGCAGCCAGGAAAAATGCCATGCTTTAGACACACTTATAGTACCAGGATACTGATTTTTTTTTTTTTTCTTTTTTGGTACCAGAGATTGAACCCAGGGGTGCTTTTAATCACTGAGCCACATCCCCAGCCCTTTTATTTTTTATTTTGAGACAGGGTCTTGCTAAGTTGCTTATGGCTTTGCTGAATTGCTAAGGCTGGCCTTGAATTTTCAATCCTCCTGTCTCAGGATCAGAGTCTAGGATTACAGGCATGTGCCACCATGCCCAGTAAGAACCCTCATTTCTTTCTTTCTTTTTTTTTTTTTTGTGGTGCTGGGGATTGAACCCAGGGCCTTGTGCATGTGAGGCAAGCACTCTACCAACTGAGCTAAATCCCCAGCCCCAAGAACCCTCATTTCTTAAAGCCCATCTTTCCTTCTCTTCCTGCCAACCTTTCCTAGAGGATCCTTCTTTTTCTCAATTCTGTACAGTTCTCCCACCACTAGTGGTCATTTCCCCTTAGGGCTAGATGGATTTTTTTTCCCCCTCAGTTCTGGGAATCAAACCCAGGGCTTCACACATGCTAGGCAAGTGTTCTACCGCTGAGCTACATCCCTCAATCCAGGATACACCTTCTTAACCCTTCTCCCTCTATCACCAGGCTTTCAGCTACGCAGGGTTGAAGAACAGCGGGAGCAAGAGAAACGAGATGTTGTGGGCAATGATGTGGCCACCATCCTGTCACGTCGTATTGCTGTTGAGTACAGTGACTCGGAAGATGACTCCTCTGAATTTGATGAGGACGACTGGTCGGATTAACTCTTTCTGCCTGCCGCCCACCTCCTTTTCTTTCCTTCCTACCTTCCTTTTTTGATGCCTATCCTAATAGTCCTGTGGGAGGGGGGAGAAACAAAAGAATTTCAAGGGCCAAAGCCTTCCCTGAAGCAACCAAAGATATATCCAAGTGCTTCCTCCAAATCAACATGTATTTTCTCTCCCTATTATCAAGAGCATGGGCTCCTGAGTTTCATAGCTAAGATGAGATGTTCCCTGGTTCCTTCAAGTGACTGTCACATATTGAAAGGAAGGAAAACCCCCTGAAGCAGATTTCTTTGATTGGGTTTCAATGGGAAATGGTATTCTTCGCTAGGAGCCATTTTCACTGTGGCCCTCATTTAAAATGAGGGCCTCAGTTGAAAATGGCTCCTAGGGCAGAGTACCATTTCCAATTGAATTCCAACCATCTTCTGGTCCTAAAGTACTGAGAGCAGACTGTGGGGACACAGTTGTCCCCCTTTCCTGTGTCCTAAGAGGGCAGAGCAGTCTGAGTACCCCGAAGCCAGACCACCTCTTGCCTACTCCTGCTGTCTGCCCTAATCAGCAGGGTGGGGCTGCCTTTTATTCAGTGATCTTTTGACCTGGGATATTTTTTTTCCAGGAGGTAACAGACCACTACAGAGTGTCTCATCCACTTTTCCCAGAAACAAGGTCTCTGAAGGCTGAGGCTGTTGCCTCCCTCCTAGACTCCCTCTTATCAAGTATGATGGTAAAGTGTCCTTTAAATACCCCTTCCTTGCCCTTAGGTGCCTTTAGGCTCTATAGCTCAGTTTTAACCTCTAATATCTATGACCAAACTAGCCCTGACACACAGGGACATGGGTGGGCTTCTGCTGACTGTCAGGAGCAAAGCTTAGAGACTTGGAACTACAGAACTAGAAGGATGGTAGGATTCCTTGGGTCTGCCCTCTTAAAGATGATGAGGCCTAGACAAGGGAAGTGACTTGCTCAAGGTCACACAGTTGGATAGTAATGGAGCAAGAGCCCAGACATCCTGATTCCAAGTCACCTGTGCTTTCTGGGACCAAATAATGGGCACCTGCTGGAGTCTGGGCAGAGCAGTCTTGGCTCTGTGCTGCTCCAGACCTCCCCATAGGCAGGGGTCCCAGTCGGAGGCTCAGTGCCTGTGCCAGCCCTGTCAGTGCTGCTCAGACCTTATAGCCTCTCTTGTAACCCTTTGTTGCCCCTTCCTATCATCAGCCAACAACATGGCCTAGGAGCTGTGCTTCTGGGAAACCAGAGAGAAAAAGAAGAGGGCAGGCAGCTTTGACAGGTGCTGTTTTCAGTTTTACTGCAACTCCTCCCCCTTTTATTTCCCCAATTTAAGCATAGGTTCTACCAGCTGTAGAAACTTGAGTCCCTCAGGCTGGCAGCCACCCCAGGTACCTGCCTTGGTGTGTGTGTCGGGGGGTGCCTAGCAGCCGTGAAGAGGGCTGAAGGGTGGAAGGGCTCAGGGTCTTCCCTTACTGCACACGGTAATGTTCATCCCCCCACCCCCAGCCATTTCCCAGAGTTTATACACAGGTGCTATTATTTAGGAAAAAACTGGTCAGCTCTGGCCAACAGCAAGGTTTTTCTCTTCTGCCCCAACTATTGTGTGGCCTCTCATGCTGAAATCAGCTTCTCCAGCTTTCAGAGCCTGAAACAAAGAGAAAAAGGATCTGTCTCTACCCAGCACAGCAAATGGTTGTAGTAATTGCCAAAGCCCTCATAAACCCCTCCGGCTTGAGGAGAGTATAATCGTGGGCACTGCTGCCTGCCCTTGCTGAATACCTCCCTCTGCCTCCTTTCTTGAACTTAGGATGTGGGGAGAGCCTGCAAGTGCCAGAATATGCTTCTGCTGCAGCTACTCCAGAGTGTGCCCTCCTCCTACTCCCCAGATAAGGTATCTCCTGCACGGGGCTTGGCACCCAACTCCATGCTGAGCACACCAGGCTGGGCCTGCCCAGCCATGTCCCCTACTTGCACTTTGGAAGCCGAAGGTCCTTTTATCAGAACCCTGAAATGCTGTTGAAGGTGCCCCGGCTGCAGCCCAGCAGCGGCTGGAGAGGCAGGCGGAGGGCAGTGTTTCTCCCAAATAGGAGTCCTGGGGCCTGGCCAGGCCAGGGTTTGGGCCTAATGGCTGTGAGTAAATTACCCCCATCCTCCTCCTTTCCGGAAGAGGGGGAGCCAGAGCCACTCACTATCATTCTGCTCTGACCTTGAAGGGGGTGGTGTTGGCCTGGCTTCTGGAATGGACAGAGTCCACCGCAGAAAGGGCTGGGGGCAGGAGGAGGTGGGGAGGGGCCCTGCCTGCGGAAGGTAGGATTAGATCATTAGCTCAGTGACCTCCTAGGGTTTCGATGTGCTGTGTTCTCATCCTACAGCTGGTTTGGTAATGATCTGCAAGTCCCGGAGAGCAACAGCACAGCTCTGCCTGACGCTCTCATTAAAATCTATGCAGCCAAGCTCGGTGCTTTGTAGCAGCCGGCCTTGCGAAGCCTCCTCAGCTCGGGGGGCTGGGGACCCAGTCAGCTGAGAGGCCCTCTGGGCTCTACTTATGCATATGTGCACCAAAAAAAAAAAAAAAAAAAAGTGCTTCTTGAAACCCAAAGTCCTTTAAAATGATAAAGGATCCAATGCAGGTAGATATGTCTTTGGAATTCTATAATTGTAGGATACAAAGTTTAGTGATTATTTAAACCAAACAGCTGAGGCTGGTAAGAGTATGAACAATGGCCTGTGAGGGCTCTTAAGTACCAAAGCCAAGGAGCCACCTTCCTTCCTGGTCTGCCCAGCCCAGGGGACCTGCCCCCATTCCTGTGGCCCAGGGGCCCAGCTTCCAATCGGCAGTGTCAGAAGTGACTTGTGGCTTTGCCTTGGTCGTGAGATGATTTCATTCCAAAGGAGCAGGCGGCGGGAGGGGGGGGGGTTGATCCCTTGGAGGCTCAGAGCAGCTGGCCCAAGCTCCAGCTTGCCTCCAATGGAAGCTTGAGCGCCCTCAGAAACGACCCTGACCAATGTCACCGCAGAGCCGAGGCGGTGTTGTCAGGGCTAATGTGAAATCTCTTCCCGTGGCGCCGATCCTCCGACTCTGCAGCGCCAGCTTGGACAGATTGAGGTCTCTGTGGCTTTGGTGACCCTGCTTATGCATTCCCACCGTGTCCCTGCTCTGCTCTAGGACTGCCTGCCTCTGCAACCCCTCACCTGACCTCAGGGCCTGGGGAGGGAGGCAGTGCACCACGCCCAGGTGCTTCTGCTAGGGAGAGATGTCAGCCTTCCTGGGGGGGCAGCAAGCTTTGAGCTCTGCCAGGGTGCAGCTGGCCAGGGTACAGCTGATCTGGGACCAGGTGTCCCACCGAAAAGTGCCTCTCTGTGCCTCCTGCCACATTCACATTCACAGTGCCTCAGTGAGGGCAAGGAACAGTTCTGTTACTGTATTAACTTCATTCAGTTAATTCACTTGAGAAACTAACCAATTTTTACTTTCTGTCTAGAATGATGTACATGTAGGAGAGTAAGCTGTAATGCTCCCAAAGTGCCTTGTTTTCTCTGATATAAATATATTTATAAGGACATATTCCAATGGGTTCTTGGGTATGTTTGCCACATGGAGATTTTAGGGCATGAGCAAGTATAGTGGGGATGCCTTCTGCAAACAGGCCCTTTCCCCTGAGAATGGGGAAGGGGCTCTCTGTTGGAAATCCAAGCGGTGGGGTTAAGTCTAACCCCCAGTTACCCTTTCCTCCTCTGCCCTGTTTTTCTAAGACCCTAGAAGGATATCCAATTGTTTGAATCCCTGCAGCTCCAAGCCTGGTCTCATTTGCTTTCCTGCCAGGCTCATGTGTATATATATACCTGTATCCCAGTGATTTGAAGATTCCATGTAACTATCATGTATACACATGAATACTTAAATACCAATATTTTCAATAATTTGATAGTCTTTGTAGTCACTCAGCCACCTCTGAGGGTGTGTGTGGGGGGGTGTATGTGTGTGATGGGAGAAGAGATTAGAAGGGGCAATACTGATAGCCACGGGYTGTGACAGCTCAGAGGGGTTCAGCMTGGGTGGGCCCAAAGGGCAGGAGGCTTCTGGGCAAAGACCCAAGTTGGGGGACCAGAGGTGCAGACCCCCAAGCCTCTTTCCCCATGAGGAGGGTATGTGTACCAGATACTGGCTGCTGACATCTCCTTCCACCAGGCAGGAGAGGAGCACAGGCTGAATGTTGATGCTGCCTCCCAACATCTGGCCGGCATCTTGTCTGCCTCTCAGACCCATGCAACTTACCTTAAATAGAACGATTTACAATGGAATCCGATAAAAGGTTTAGGCTGCTCCACGCCCCCTCTCCTGCCTGGGGAAGAAAAGGGGGCTGGGTTTATATTCTGACCCAAAAAAAATGACCTACCCAGGAAGCAACGGTTGTTCAGAGCACAGCTGCTGCGGGTAACTGTCCCTGGGGGTAATTTATGATCAGACACCCAGTTCCGGGCCCAGCAGACGCAGTGGGGTGGCCCCCCGGAGAGGGGAGGGAGCAGAGTTGGCGACTGCAGGTCATGCCTGCTGCTAGAGGGACAGAGTCACCCACTGATGTCCCAGGAGAGGGGCAGAAGTTTTGAATTGTCAGCAACTGCTGCGCCAGCCGCTCTGAGCTCATCGCTGGAGGTGGGGATGCAGGGGAGGGGGCATATAGCAGGCTCGCCCTGCAGAGCCCCTCCGCTCCACCCTCCTGCTCAGGCCTGTGTTTAGTCAGCACTTGGCTGCCCGAGGCCAGTGACTGACAGGCAGCCAGGAGCCCGCCCTGGCAGAAGACAAAATGGTGGTGTTGGGAGCCGCCCTTGCTAGGGAATTGGAGGGAAGGAATGTGGTTCTGGGAAGAAGAGGCCTGAGCTTGAATTCTGGCTCTGCCACTTGGGAGCTGTGACCCTGTGCAAGTCGCTTCACCTCTAAGATAATCCTGAGAAGAATGAGCTCTTACTGAGCACCCACTACCTGCCAAAGACTGCATATGGTTAATTTCAATCTTTAGAAGCAGGGGTCTCGTGTTTTATACAGGAGTAAAACAGGTTCACGGAGGCAGTAATTCACCTAAGGTCATGCAGCTGGCCAGGGACAGCCCATGCCCCATTCACTGCAATTTCTACATCCTAGTATCACAGTCTTTAGTGGGCTAAGGGTATGTGTAAAGTTTCAGTTACCTGCCACACACTCTGGTGACAAGTTTTAAAGGTGAAATAACAAAGGAGGATTTATTTTTGCTCTTAGAAACTAAGCAAGTTCGACTGAGGGCCCAGCTATCCTAGACTTTTGAGGGTAAGTAGCTGTGCCCTCATCTGCCTGAGATGCTGCCTCCTAACACCTGGCTGGCATCTTGGCACCCTAGATTTGGGCTGGGCTTCACACAGACATACTGCCCAGTACACAAATGCACACGCACATTTTTTGCACATTCAGAGGCACATGTATGAGTGGCACACAACCCAGGCCTAGGGACATTGTGTGCAGACCTCTACCCTGTGCAAACAAGGACACAAATCAGTCAACTGTTACAGGAACGTACATAATTGCAGGCCAACCTCACACAAAGTCCTTCCAAGCCACCCCTCCCTACTCGTTCCTCCGCCAGTTGCTCACTGCCCCCTCCTGGCCGCCTAGTGGCCAGGGCAACCTGGCACCATTTCCTGAAGTTCTGCTCTGAGTGGTTGGCAGCCAGCTCCTTAGATCATGGGGCAAGAGCAGTTTCAGATAACTCGCCCTTAGTTCCAGGGGAAGTGGGTCTAGAAGGGATTCTTGAAGCCTAAGGACAAAAATAGCCTTTAACATCCAAAGGAATCTTTCAAGGTAGAATTTCTCTTGTGATTTGTATCTTGTCGTCACAGAAGGGCAGGTAAGATTTGAGCAAGGGGTCTGCATAAACAACCTCCCATGTCAGCAGACCACCACCCTGCCCTGCCCTGAGAAACTAAGCACACATGTGCACATGTTCTCATATATGCTACAGAGGAGAGGACCTGCCAGCCAACCAATCAGAGGCCGGTTTTTCTAGCTCCCAGCTGGCTGTGACCTTCCTGGACCTTAACTTCCTCACCTATTCAGCAAAGAGTTAGTCTTGATGATGGATGTGGCCCCTTCACTCTGGCCTTCACCATCTTGGGTGCTGACACTGCTCCCAGATGTGTGTCTGGGCAGAGTACATCCGTAAGTGTGACTCAGTGGATTGCTTAGGACAGTTTTGGAAGGATTACCAACACAATCTTTTATGCCTTATTTTAAAGATAAGTAAATGAAGCACAGAGAGGCACAATAATTTACCCTAAGTCACACAGCAAGCTGAAAGCAGATGAAGAAATAGAAAACTTCTTTTTTCTAATACACCAGAAAGCAGAGCACCTTGCGGGCTTGGGCCCAGAGCCAAGGAGTCTTGAGTTCCAAGGGCTAAAACCATAGGCTCTGCTCTTTGGTCTATGAGTCCTGATAGGATCCCTATGGCTGCCCAAAATCTTGGAGAGAGCCCAGAGAAGGTCTGAGGCTTAGACATTTAGCACAGAGGCTGGGAAAAAGTAATTTGGAACCCCAGTGGGTTCTGCCACTTAGCAAGTAGGACCCCCCATTAGCAGACTGAGGGGACTAAAGGGGCTTCTGCATAGTTTGTGGCCACTTGGTAGCTCACATATCAACGTGGTCTTGAGTGATGTATACATGTGTGTCTGGACTCCATGTATATAATTATACCTGTGGCTGAATGTTTGTGCATGTATACAAATATATGGGAGAATATTCATGTGTGTGTAGCATGTAAGTATGTTTGCAAACTTGTATATGTGTTTGTGTGGCTAGTTGTGTGTGTGTGTGTGTGTTGGGAATTGAACCGTAGCATACACACTTCCAGCCCCTGTGTATGTTTGGATACACATATATAAATGTAACCTGCATATTGGACAGGTGACTAAATGCACACATAAAACCATACTTATAGGACAAGGGATATAGTTCCATGATAGAGCACTTGCGTACCATGTGAGGCCCTGGGTTCAATCCAAAGTGCTGAAAAAAAAAGAAAAATAAATCTTGCCTGTCTGCTTACATACAGACTCAGATTCAGATGATCATTGAATTGCTTGTACATGAGCAAAAGTTCACATGTATTTTTGTGCAGAGTGGGGTGGAACATACCTAAACATGAGTGGCAAGTGTGTCAATGTGCATGCAAGAATGGCTTCACATGTGACGATACATATGAATCACAAGAATGCCTTCTCAACACAGGATGATGTAAGTGTTGTCCCCAACCTTGGAATGCAGGGTGCCCTGCCTGGCTCCAGTCAGGGACTGGGTTCACAGCACCCCCACCCTTACCCTCCATGTACTCCCTAGTCCCCAGACTCATCCTGCTTGGCCAATTTGCAGCCTTCCCAGCTCCTGGGAAGGCCTGCAGCAAAGTCAAGGGGCTGGTGGCCAATTAGCAAAGGGGTTAATCAGAGATCTGGGGACCCCCAGGGGGTAGGAAGCTGAAAGCAGGCATGGGGTTGGCAGCAGCTTGAGCTGCCTGTCCTAATACTGGGGGAGGGGAGGCCAAGACAGCCTGTTGGTACTGGAAACCAGGTGGATTCATGATTGCTGAGCACTGACAGTAGCAGGGAGCATGTGTGTGTGTACACTGTGAAACGGTGTGTGTACATGCATTCTAGTCCTTGAAAGTGGTCTTGCATGCATTAATGTATACATGCCTATGCATACCACCTGCATACATTCGTGCAGGTTTCTGTGTATACATGGATGTACAAAGGCTTGCAAGTGGGTTTGCTTACGCAAGCATGTCTGAATCTGTTTGCACATAGTTGTGTAGAAGGGTAAGTCTGTATACACGTGTGCAAGGCATGCACACACATTTAGGTTTGTGTTCCAACATGCACTCATGTGCATATAAAGTGGCTGTGATCTGCCTACACATGTGCAATGGTATATCTGTGTGCACAAGGATGCATGCACTGCTGCACAGATGCATATGAATATCTGTATGTTTGTGCGTGTGTGCGTGTGTGTGTGTGTGTGTGTGTGTTCTTGGACTATCTGGACACCTGGCTCCTACTTGTGCTCCTGTGCATGTGTCAACGTGCTCAGTTCTCCGCATGGAAGGAGCTGGGGGATGCAGGGTTCACAGGCTCCAGGAGGGAATCTGACAGACAAGCCTTGCCGCAGCCCCCGGGCCCCGGGAGCCTGTTTTCCAGCCTGCAGAAGCTGTGAGCCCGTGAACTCATCTTATATTAATAGCTGCTGTCTCCGCACTTATTGCAGGGAGAGGCGGTCATGGCCCCAGCGAGRGTTTGGCCCTCAGTACTTCCCACCCACCCCCAACACACACAGGACCAGGGGAGAAGCAGAGCATGTGTGGGCCCCATCCTAGGCCCAGCCTGGCAGGAAGAGAGCCCATGCTTTTCCCAATACAGGGAGCAGCTTGGGCCTCTGTATCTGGTTAGGATCAGGCATGGGGTTAGAAAACTGGTAGAGGCAGAAAGGCCCCCATACACACACACACACACACACACACACACACACACACATGCTATGCTGAGCCACTCAGAGCTGAGCATAAGAGGAATCTGAGGCTGAAGGAGACAGAAGGCTCAGTCTGAGGGGAAGACACTGTCCTGCCTCAGGGGATCTCGTCCAAGGCAAAAGATGTGACCCTTCTCTCCGAGAGCCTCAGAGATCCTAAGGCTGTGACAGGGCCCAGCTCTCAGGAATGCCTGCTCTAAGGGAGAGACATGACCTTGAATTCTGGAGCCCCTTGATCTGAGGAGAGACAAAGAGAGTTGCTTTCAGGAGCCTTCGGTTTGAGGGAACAGACATGCCTCTTCTCTTAGGGATCCTCAGTTGAAATTGAGCCACAGCCTCACCCTCAGGGGCCCCATTCTGAGGAGGAAGCAAGACTTCCCTACACATGATTACTCGATTACTGGGGGGTGGGGGGAGCTGTGGGAAGGTGTGTTGTATGAATCATCTCCACAGCCACAGCAGGGCTCAGCCAAGAGGGCCTCTAGGAGGAGGCATGCAGTGGGAGTACAGAGAAGACTAGAACTGTGTCCACAGAATCCTGGGAGACGAGAAACCCAGCCAGCCCACCACATACTTAGTCTCCCCCAAATGCCTCAGATCCACCACATAACCACCCAGACACAGAGAAGACAAAAACCCTTGGCGTGGATCCYGAGAACAGACTCTCCCAGACATAGGATAGAAAGCAGTAGGTCTTTGTTTGGGCCCTAGAACCAGAAGCTGGAATGAGGACACCAAGGGCCAAGCCACACCCAGCTAGAATAGGCACCTGACGCTTCCTTGTGGACCTTGGTGAGGGCTTCTCAGGAGCATCGGGAGGCAGCAAGGAGATTCTTTTCTACATTTCCCCTTAAAGGTCTRGACATAACCTGGAGACCCCCAGCTTTCCCCAGCCTGGGCTCAGACCACCTTGTCCCAGTTCCTGGCCCACTGTTTCTGAAACCTACTCTTTTAACCATGAAAGAAATTGATTTGGAGATGAATGAACTGGGTTCAAATCCTAATTCAACTGACTGTGACTTTGGACAGATTGATTGTCACCTTTCAGAGAGGCCTTTCTTTTGGGCACCTTCATTTAAAAAGTACTCATATATTCTCTTTCTTCCTACTTTTCTTGTCTCTGAAGACTTATCAACATTACTTTTTTTCTTTTTTTAATAAAGGAGATTGAACCCAGGAGTGCTTTACCACTGAGCTACATCCCCAGTCCTTTTTATTTTTTATTTTGAGATAGCGTGTGTTGCCAAGTTTCTAAATTCGTGATCCTCCCTGCCTCAGTCTTCTAAGTTGCTGAGATTATAGGCATGTGCCACCGTGCCCAGCTCCCAATATTACATTTTTTTAAAAATCTCTTCTATTTAGGGGTTGTTGCTCAGTTGCAGAGCACTTGCCTCCCACGTGTGAGGCGGTGGGTTCAATCCTCAGCACCACATACATACATACATACATAAATAAAAATAAAGATATCGTGTCTATCTACAATTAAAAAAAATTCTTTTTTTTTTTTTTAAAAAAAAAACCCTCTTCTATTTAATGCTATCTGTGGTGCCCTTCTCCTAATCGTTAGGCTCTGTCTGTAAATGAATGGAGGCCCACTGCTATTACATTCTCAACTCTCTCTTGTGAAAAGTGGGGAGAGTGATAGCACCATCTGATGAGGGCAGGGTGGTAGTGTGTGAAATGTTTGGCTCAAAGCTTGAACTTGGGGAGGCGCTTGTGGAATATATGTGTGGGGTCTCTACCCAGGGCCCTGGTCAGGCCTCTGCATTTTGTGCCTGGGCCTGTTGGCATGTCTACCACCTAGACTCCTGCAGCCACTGCTGGGGAAGAGTTTTGAATACCAGGCAAAAGAGCTATGGGCAAGGAAATGGAGAAAGACTTGTATCCTAGCCTGGCACAGCTGGATGAGTTTGAGCAAATAGCTGCTCTTTTTTGTGTGTCTCAGCCTCCCTGATGGTGGAGTAGGCCAGAAATGCTCCTCAGGCCCCACCACTAGGGTTTTTCCAGCTATAAGGCCTGAGAAGGTGGGAAGCTGGCAGGTTAGAGTAGTCAGAGATCCCTCTTTTTTTTGCTGGGGGAGGTACCAGGGATTGAAATCAGGGGCACTTAACCACTGAGCCACATCCCCAGCCCTATTTTGTATTTTATTTAGAGACAGGCTCTCACTGAGTTGCTTAGTGCTTCACTTTTGATGAGGCTGGCTTTGAACTCACAATCCTCCTGCCTTAGCCTCCCAAGCCTCTGGGATTACAGATGTATGCCTCCACGCACAGCCAGAGATCCCTCTTGAGCCACACCCCAAATCTGCTCCTGCATCCCTGATGAACACAATTTTCTGGGGTCCTCCTTCTCTCCCAAACACCCAAACTTGGGTCCCCAAATGCACTTGTATAGCCACTCACCTTTACTTAGGAAAGAAGTTTTTCTTCTAGCTCCATTATGACCAGACCCTGTCCAAACATCTCCCAAATGTAGGCCACTGGCCCTGAGAATATAAATCAGGTTCCAGAATGTCCTAAACCCTAGACTTGGGAAAGAAGGAAGTAAGAGGACATTGCCTAGGAGACAAGAACACAGATTCTGGAAACAGATGTTCCCTATTTTAATCCTGATTTAACCATTTCCCAGCTTTATGACATCAGGTCAATCACCAACCCTCTCTCAACCTCAATTTCTTCATCTGTAAGAAGACAATACTATATATGTCAGGGGATGCTTGTTAAGCATATAGGAGGCAACGTGCAATACCTACTCTTTGCAGAGTGCCTATCCCACACAGTAAGCACAAACTATTAGAAGAAAGGGTATTTTGGGGGTGGGGGACAGTACTAGTGATTGACCCTTGGTCTAGGGCATGTTAGGCAAAAGCTCTACCATTGAGCTACATTCCCAACCCAGAAAAGGGTGATTATTATGAAGGAAACAGATATGCTATGTGCATATTCTTCACATCAGAGCCTCAAACTGGCTCATGTGGGTAGGATGTGGGCATCTTCAGAGCTAAGCACCCTGGTCCCCAGGAGTATGCAAGATCCTTGCCAGGCAATGCCCAGGGCTGACCAGAGAGGCACTGATATCCTGGGGGGATCAACCACACTTCATCCCACCATTAGACCCCTCTAGCCTGACCTGACCCTCTCATTCTGGTCTATCCCTCATTAGGCTCAACTCTACACACACACACACACACATATTTATCACAAAATCATTCTTTAATGAGTTGGGTCAGGGGGACAGGAACAGGGAATGCACTGGGGACCATACCCCGGTTGGCAGAGGGGGGGGTGTTGGCTCTTGCCCCTCCTCCTCTAGGGCACCTCGGGGTGAGGCCTGGCCCCCAGGCCAGGACTAGGGCGCTGGATGCCAGGCTCAAGCAGCGTTGGAGTTGATACCGGCTACCTGGTCAGGCTGCAGTCCCCCCAAATGGCCACCAGAGGGCAGCCGGCYCCCAGCGCAGAGGAATTCTCGGTTGCTCAGGTGATGGCTTTTTAAAAAAATAAAAAACCAGAGGCTGGTGTGTTCCTCCTGCAAACCCGAGGGGGGCGGGCCTGGGGAGAAGGCTCTGGTTTCTATGATCTCTTCGATAAAAAAATAAGCAAAAATAATAACAAAATACGTGGTTTCTCTCTCCATTTCCCTCCTCCAGGAACTGAGGTCAGAAATGGGGGTGTGGGGATTGGGAATACCCTGGTATGGCCTAGATTTCAAAGTATGGGTCTCTTTTTTCCCCTTATCACCCATAAATAAACTTATAAATAAATAATAAATAAATAATATACTTTCTTTGTATGTGCAATATATATATATAGATAGATATAGATAAATAGATAGATAGATTTTCTCCTATCTAGGCAACTAAGTGACTAACCTCTCTGACTCTTGAGCTCAGAAATCCAAAAGTAAAGTGACATGGCTAAGGACAAGTTCAGGGGAGGGGAAAGATCAAGGGCTTGAATGGCACTGTAAAACACCCAGCATTCTGTAACTGCAAATCAGCTGGGCTGTGGGACATTTCTAAGTGGAATCCTGACCACCTGGAACATTCTAGAACCATGGAGCCAGCTGGGCCCCTGCAGTCATCTTGAACAGAATCCTGAAACACCCAATGTCCTAGAACTCCAGAACCAGCTGGGTCTGGGGGTGTAGAGCTGGGGATTTGGAACAAAGCCCTGGAGGACCTAACATTCTGGAATTTTGTAGTGATCAGGGCTGCAGGGGTCACCAGGATGTAACTACACATCACTGGGGGAGCGAGATCGAAAGGGAATCTTGGAAGAGGAACAACAGCAGCAAATGGCCCACAGCACCTTCTGCACATCCTGATTGCGGAAGGCATAGATGATGGGGTTGATCATGGAGTTGTAGGTGGCAGGGAGCAGGGTGAGATAGGTGTAGAGGGGTGGAGAGCGGGCATCACCCAGCAGGCAGTAGACAGTGAAGGGCAACCAGCAGGCAGCAAAGGCGCCGAGCACCACGGCCAGTGTGGCGATGCCCTTGCGGGTAGCCACATAGTGGGAGGCAGGCAGCAGGTGCCGCTGAAGGGCGATCTGCTGGGCATGGCGGCAGACGATGCGGCAGATCTGGGCATAGAGCTGCAGCATGATGCCAAACACCATGAAGAAGGCAATGGCCAGGACTACCAGATGGTTCTTGGAGAGTGGATATACCACGCCACACGTGGTCAGCCCATCCAGGCAGTTCCAGGCCAGCACTGGCAGCAGCCCCAGGCCGAGGGCACCCCCCCATACTAGGGCCAGCATCACGTAGGTCCGAGTCACTGTTGTCTCCGAGTAGTAGGTGAGGGCATTGTACAGGGAAAGGTAGCGGTCGACAGTGATGGCCAGTAGGCTGCCAATGCTGGCGGTAAAGGCCATTGCCAGCACACCAACAAGCACCAGACTCATCTCTGCGGAGCCTATGCAGAAGACAGCAGCGAAGTGCAGGACCAGGCCCAGGCCTGCCAGAAGGTCTGCCACAGCCAGGCTGCCCACCAGCAGGAACATGGGGGCACGAAAGGCAGGAGTGCCCACGATGATGGCCACCACCAGCGCGTTCTCACAGGACACCAGGGTACCTGAGATGCATAGCACCACATCCCAGGCCTTGGGTGAGGGCAGTGGTGCAGCTGGGCCTGTGGGCCCTTCTGCAGGGCCCACGCTGCTCACGTTGACGCTGCCTGGGCCAGCAGAGAGCCAGGCTAACGGGCCGCCTGCACCCCACATCATGGTACCTGCAGGAGAAAGGCCCTGTGAGATGCTGGCAGGGCTGGTGCTGATAGGAGGGGTCTGGAGGGAGTGAGGTGCCCTCCAGGATAAGTGGTGCAGCCCAGATGCCTTGTCCCCCTATTCATGCCCTAGGGCTCTTCCAAGGATAACTTTGTCCTCTCTAATGCCTCCAGACCTTTAAACAAGGGTATTTATTTATTTATTTATTTATTTATTTATTTATTTATTTATTTATTTCCCTGAGGATCCCTGTCCTATATCTGTTTACCCTCCCTTCCAATCCTCTGGGTCCTGCAGGCCTCTTTCCCACGTGTGTAATCAGAGAACTAGATGAAAGGCTACCATAAGTGAATGGGGGAACCACAGAATCCAGGCGATGCACCAAAAGGCTCAAGATCGGGCGGGGGTGGGGGAGAGAATCATCTCGAGTCTAAGGGAAGCTCTGCTTCCTCCCATCAGAGGATGACTSGGTTTCTGAGGCTCTCAGACCCCTCACGATTCTCAGCACAGCCGGCCCAGGCTCCGCCCCCAGGGAAAGCGCGTGAAGCTCGGTCAGCCCCCATCCGACATTCCTAGGGTAAAAACACCTGGGAACGCAGCCCCCCACCCCGCACGCTCTCCCAGACTTCTATCCCGGGACTGACCCCTCTTTCTGTCTTGAACCCCTGGATCTCTGTGAGCCATTCCCCGCTGGAAGTCTGGATCCCTGAGTCAGACTCCTCCTTCTGCCCGGACACCTAGATCATGGGCCTGACTCCGCCTCCTGCCCCAATATTAGGATCCCTAAATCAGACACCTCCCGCAGCTCGGACGCCTGTGTCCCTGCCCTAGCCGTCTCCTGCCCGCCCAATCTCGGACGACTGTCCGAACCTCCAGAACCTTGGGTCCCTGCAGGGATGCTCACCTTTCACCGGGTCACCCAAATGACTGCTCCAGCACTCGAGCACTTGGGTCCCCGTCTGCTGACCCAGAATTTGCTAACCCAGAATCCCAGCCTTGACCTCCGACCCTTTCTGCCAGAGGCAGGGAGCCTTCTGCCGGCCCAGTGCCCCAGCATCCGGTGTGCCCTCCAGGACGCCTGGTGCCCGTGACAGGGCCCCCTACTTACCGTTCAGGACAGGGCGCGGCCGGGCCGCGGGGAGGGTCCTCTTGGGTCCTGGCAGCTCAAGGTGTGCGCGGACCCCGAGAAGCCCCCGCGGCCGCGGGAGAAGCGGCGTGAGTCACCCCGCCCCGCCCCGCCCCCGGCCACCGGTTCAGTGACGTCAGCGGCCCAGTAGGCCAATAGGCGCGGTGCGCTGGGGCGCAGCGCGCGTTGCGCGGCATAGTAATGAGGCCTCGCACCGCCCGCTCCCCCATTCATAAAAAGCGACCGTGGCCACGGCCCCGCCCCCTCCCCATAGGCCCGCGCTGTCCTTGACGCGGCGCCCTCTGCGGGCCAGGGGTTTCTGGGGCTCTGGTCGAGATCCTTGGAGAAGTCTCAGGGAGCCTGCAGGGAATATGGTGGGGAGCAGAAAGGAGACCTAGATAGGCTGTGGGGTGATGGGGGACCCTCAGGTGGCAGGAACAAGATGACAGAATCCAGGTGACGGAGACCAAGTGATGTGGCTGAAAGGGCGTCCTCCTGTGAGAATGACGGGGCCCTGAGGTGACGGTGACAGGAGCACGAGGAAGCAGGGAGGTGGGTGGAAGTGACGATATGAGCTGGTGACAGGATCTTGGGGGATGGTGGCCTGGGGATGCTGACGGTAGAGGATGGTAGAATCCCCAGGGCAATCATAGCAATGTCTGGGTGACTTTGCAGCATGATGGAGTTTAAGGATTCCAGGGTGGCAGAGGTGGTGGCAAGAGAAAATAGGGTATCCAGGTGAAGGGATTTCAGGTCACCATCACCCTGTCAAGGGCTGAGGTACTGAGGGGACAAAGTGAACCGATGAGGGTCATAGGGTCCTGGAATAAAGATGCCAGGTGACTGTGGTAAGTGGGCCCTAGGGTTAGGGGAACAGGGCAGAGGAGCTGACAGTGATTGGGCAAGTAAGTTGCTGCCAGGACAGGTCCCATGATGTTGGGGCTGGAATAAGGAACTGCGTGACATCACTCCTGTCAGTCCAATAGCGCCCTCACGGCATGGGAGAGTAGGCCTGGCAAGATTTTAAAACCTGAATTATTTATTCAAGGATCTGGAAAGCCAGCAGGAGGGGGAGCACTTCCCTGAATCAGCAGGAGATGGGGAGCCGGGAAGAACTTGGAAGCAGAAAACCTAGCAGCTCTGTTCTCCTGGCAAGTCCCTCTCAGCCTCCCTTCTTAGGCACCCTGGTGGGGTAGGGCATGGAGAAAGAGCTCCCCCTTTCCTAACCCTACCTGCTATTAAACCCTAAACCCAGGAAATATATATTTATTCATCTTCCTTTCTTGGTAACTATGTCTCAGTCCTGTTCCACTGTAAGCTCCATGAGAGAGCAGTGATTCTGTCCTCTTTTCTGCTGTAAAGTGGTGCCTAACATATAGTAGGTGTTTAATAAATGTTTGTTGAATAGATAATTAAACTAAACAGGAGCTGCTGTGAAGGGAAACAGTGAGAGTAGCAGGATTCATGCTTGAGTTGACTGAGAGAGGGGACAGGGCATCAGCCACCCAAGACTCAGATGTCCATCTTCTCCCTCATCTGAGCTGGGTCCCAACAAAGTTCTGGTCTCAGAGAAAGGTGAAGGGTGCTGGGAGGTTGATAAGAAAGTGGCGGGCATATGAGAGACTTTTGAGTGGCAGTTTTCATAATTCATTGATCCTCTGGTGAAATGTGTACCATCACTGCAGACAAAGTCACCACAGATCCTCTCCTCCCTCTTGCCAGCTCCAACGTTGCTTGGCCTTTAGGATCCCACTGCCATCCTCATTCTGCTCTCATGTTCCTCTACCTGTTTTCTTGAGATCTTTTTTCTTCTCATACTGGCCACATCTATGTTTGGATTAATTTTTCTCTTAAAAAATGTTTTTAGTTGTAGTTGGACACAGTGCCTTTATTTTATCTGTTTATTTTTATGTGGTGCTAAGGATCAAACCCAAGGCCTCACATGGGCTAGGCAAGCGCTCTGCCACTGAGCTACAGCCCCAGTAACTGGATTAATTTTTCTTTGTAGAATCCAAAGGATCATAGATAGTGCCCTAGACAGTTGTGTTGCCACCATCAAAGACAAAGCTCACATATGATGTGGCCTTATATGTTTTGGTGTTTCTGTCTTACAGTTAGCATCCTAGGGTAGAGGACATTTGTTTCCAATGCAGTAGTTGGTTGGTCGTGAACTTCCTGATATGGATAGGTACTATGTCCTTCACATGGAGGTTGTTCCTTAGGCAGCTAGGGACAAAAGATGGGTGGTAATTTTTTWAAAAAATATTTTTTTAGTTGTAGATGGACACAATACTTTTATTTATTTATTTTTATGTGTGCTGAGGATCGAACCCAGTGCCTCACACATGCGAGGCAAGCACTCTGCCACTGAGCCACAATCCCAGCCCCAAGATGGGTGGTATTTCTAACCCTGAGAAACCCCAGAGACCCTAGAGACTGAAGTGAGGCTGTGTATTATCAAATGTACGCTCTCTCATGCAGAATTGCTCTTGCTAACAGGACAATTGAGGCCATCACTGCCTAGCAAATCTTTCCTCCTTATTTTCTTCCCACCTACCAGGTGCCAGACCAGAGCCCAATTTTTTCTTACAACAATCCTGCAAAGGTAAGGGACCGTATCTCCAGAGAAGCCAAGGAACTTGCCCCTGATCACACAGAAAAATGGCAGAACTGTATATGAGGCCAGGTTCACCTGTAACCAAGCCCAGGGTGTCTCCCATGCTAGCTTAGATGGCACCCTCATTCCCAGGAGAGATTAGGGTGAAGTTAGACAAGGTGACAATACTGCAGTTTGCCAGGTGGCCACCAGATGGCTGTGAACTCTCACTTCCAGGTGAGGCTTCTTTACCTCTTCATTCTTCACCAGTCTGGAGTCTAAAGCTAGTCTAAAGCGAGGAGAGTGTGTGTGTGTTTGCATATATTTGTTGTGTGTGTGTGTGTGTGTGTGTGTGTGTGTGGTGCTGAGGATTGAACCCAGGGCCTTATGCATACGAGGCAAGCACTCCACCAACTGAGCTATATCTCCATCCCCCCCCATTTGCATATACTTGTGAGACACAGATAATCTCTACACTTGAGGACCTTGTCCCAAACGGGGGGGGGGGGTCCAGTCATTGTCAGTATATGTATTCTTAGCATGGACCTCATTCAGCCAGCATTCACTGATATCACCCTGGCCCTGGCTTGAGTTTTGATGGGTGCTAGAAACAGAGATGATCTGGCCACATTTCTGCATTTTCAATGTTTAATGTATATTTACTGAACATCTACTATTTGCCAGACACAGAGGTTATAGCTGTGAACAAAACCTGCTGCCTTCTTTAAGGAGATCCTTAAAGAAGGGGAGAGATAAGCAATTTACAAAGAGACATTTGGGACTGGGGTTGTGGCTCAGCAGTAGAGCGTTCATCTCGAATGTGCAAGGTCCTGGGTTCGATCCTCAGCACCACATAAAAATAAATAAATAAATAAACAAAGGTATTGTGTCCAACTACCACTAAAAAATAAATAAACTTAAAAAAAGAGACACTTAATATGTCAAATAGAAAACCCTTGATGGTCTCAAAGGCCAATGGCTCAGACAAACATGTACTCAAATAGTCACAACATGGTATTGTAGGGCTACTAATAAACATCTACTTAGCTTGTTCTGCGTGCAGGGTGTTCCCTAGGGAAAAAGACAAACATGGTTTCTGCCCAGGAAACAAATGTGTAGTTAATTATGCATTTGATACATGCTTCAAAGGAAAAAAACAGATGATGTAATGTAGAATAACTAGGAGATGTTTTTTAGGAAGGGAGTTTAGAGTCACTTGAAGAGAGTAGAAGCCAGAAATGGTGACACACACCTGTAATCCCAGTATCTCAGGAGGCTGAGGCAGGAGGATTGCAAGTTCAAAGCCAGCCTCAGCAATTTAGTGAGGCTCTAAGCAACTTAGCAAGACCTTGTCTCAAAAAATAAATAAATAAATAAAAAGGACTGGGGATATAGCTCAGTGGTTAAGTGTCCCTGGGAAGGAAGGAAGGAAGGAAGAAAAGAAAAAATTTCAAGAAGTGGGCATGGCAAGTACACAGTCTGTGAGGAGGAGAAGAATTTGAGGAGGCCAAATGAACAGGGGAAAGGGAGGGTTTGAGCCCAGAGAGGTAGGCAGGGGAAAGCCTGTAGATGGGGAGAAGCACTAGAATGGGTTAAGCAAGGGAATGGTATGACCTGACTTTTATTTTTTCCAAGAATCACTCTTTTAGAGGTGACTTGAAGCATTAGTTTGCCAGGCAGATGTGGTGGGGAATGGAGAAGGACCCTCTACACGCACACACTGCAGGAGAGGAACTAGGATAAAGGCATATCCTTGAGGCATAGAAAGGTGCTGCAGACAGCCCAGGACAGGCCAGAGACTTCTAGAGCAAGAAATCAAAGAATTGGCCAGGCCAAGGCATTGATGAAAAGTTGTTAATTGGAAGAGGTGTGGCCAGATCCATGCATGGTTTCAGGACAGTCCTGTACTGTGAAGGCCAGCTTGGAGACTGGCCTGAAGGGTGAAAGACAGTGAGGCCAGCAGAAGGAGGATGAGGAAACYGGACCCAGGGCACACCTAGATATGGAGTATGAAGGATTTTATTTTCGGGGGCTGGGATGGAGAGAGGAGGTGAAGGTCAAATCATGGTTCCCAGCCCAGGTGACTGAAGGGGTATGATGGGGCCTCCCTGAGTGGGGAAAAGGGACAAGACAATATTAGACACCTGAGGACATTCAGGACCCAAGAAGCAGGGACCCATAGGAGGCATGGCAGAGGGAGGGTGGCTTCTAGCTTCGTTGGAGCTGGATTCACAGACGAGTCTGCTGTGTCCCTAAGCACCTTGCAAATTGGGGGTGACACAACCCATGCCTACAGGTTAATTGTGGACATTAGATGGGAGGCTGCAAATGAAAGCTCTTAGTAGAATGTACATTCTGCTGGTAGTAAGGATTCAGTGATCATAGGCTATGTGTTATTAGTTACAGGTGTGGCAGCTGTGGAGCCAGAAGTGGCCTGGGAGGTGAAAATTGGAGACTTCTTGTTGGCTTTTTCTTTTCTTTTTTCTTTCTTTCTTTTTTTTTTTTTTCTTTTTGGTACCAGGGAATAAACTCAGGGCACTCGACCACTGAGCCACATCCCCAGCCCTATTTTATATTTTATTTGGAGACAGGGTCTCACTGATTACTTAGCACCTCACTTTTGCTTAAGCTGAGTCATCGTGCCAGGTGACTTGTTGGCTTTTAAATGGGGACTGGTGACAGAGGAATGGCCAAGATGACCCCAAAAGAGTGTGAATTTGGGCTCAGAACTAAACTGAGCCACCATCAATTTAAAAGGGGTTAGAGGGAGAAGGAGGAGGAGCGAGGAGAAGAGAAAAAAGAGGTGCCCCTAAGGAACCTGAGAAGTAGCTGCAAGAGAGTGGTACTGGGCCAGGAGAGGAGGCCCTAGGAGGGCTGCAGAGAGGCCCTATTGACCTGATAAGGGCATGACCCGTGGCTTGGCCAGAGGGTGTGATGGGTGTGAGGCAGACAAGATGGAGGGCTGAAAGGCAGAAGAGGGTCCTGGGGGATGGTGTGAGGGCCGAGAGAAAACACCAAAGCTGGGCACAAGCAGCCAGAGGTGAGGGATAGCTGAGACCTGTCCTAGCCTCCATAGGGCCTTCTGGGAGGCTGCACCCTAAAGGCCTGGTCTGAGCCAAAGTGACTTCACTTTCAAATCCATATTTTGCCACTGTGACCTCAAACAAGTCACCTTTTCTCAGCCTCGGTTTCCTCACCTATGAAGCAGGGATAAAAATAATCCCTACTTAACCGTTTCCACCCAGCTACCAGTGGGGGCGCTCTGCGCCCGGCTACACCAAGTCCTGGACTCCGCCCCTTTTGTCCAAGCCCCGCCCCAACCCAACTAGCCCAGCCACGTCCCTATCTGGCCCCGCCCTCGATGGCTCCGCCCTACCAAAGAGCCCCGCCCCACCCGGCCACTCCTATTGGTCACGCCCCTACTGGCCACGCCCCGGTTGCCCGGGTCTCTCTCCCCACAAGCTCCTGCGAGCGGAGTCCAGAAGGGACGCGCCACACCAGCTGCCCGCGGACTCCCGTTTCCCACCCGCGTCCATGGCAGCGCCGGGACCCCGTGTCTTTCGGGCTGCGCTTTGCGGCGGCTACTGCTGCCTCCTCCTGTGTGCTCAACTCGCTGTGGCTGGTAACGCAGGACTGGGTCTGGCTAGAACCAGGCTGGGGCACTTGACGCATTCCCCTCATCCATCTGCCTTCCAGTCTTGGCTGGGGATAGGAGGGGACTTCCAAAGCCAGTTCAGGGCTCCAGAGGTGGGAGAGGAAAGGGGCTCCCGTTTTGTGTGGAGAACCACGTGTATATATATAGACTCCAGATGTAGAGTAGGGAACTTCGGGTCTATGTGGAGGTGATAGCTCCAAATGTGCCTGGGAACCCCAGATGTATGTAAAGGGAGGGGGTCCTGGGGGAATGTGATGAAGGCTAGGTGAGTGTAACCTTGTGCTTGCAGAAGCTCCAGGCGTGAGCAGAGGGGTGAGAGCTATAGAGGTGGTGGGGTAGTGCTGCAACTTGGCTTCCCAGAGTTGCTCCCTTCCCACTCCCATCCCATTCCCAGGTAAAGGAGCTCAAGGCTTTGGGCGGGGAGCCTTGATCCGCCTGAATACCTGGCCTGCTGTCCAAGGGGGCTGCAAACAACTGGAGCTCTGTGAGCGTTGTGTGGAGGGGGACAGAGCACACAATTTCTCAGGCTGCGTGTGGCAGCAATGTCGACTACAGGAACCAGGTATGGAGTTGGGCCCTTTCCAAGCTCATTGGCCCCAGCTCTGAAGCCCAAAGCTCTGAACACTCTCCTCAAACCTCTTCCCTGCACCTTCTCCCATAAGGACACTGTGTGGCCCAAGCTGAGGTGGTCAAGGAGGGTTGCTCTGTCTACAACCGCTCAGAGTCCTGTCCAGGTAAAGGAGTTCCCACTGGTCTAGCAAAGTTGGAGGGAGGGGGCTGGTCTCCCCATCCAGAACCTGCTCCCAGGAGAACCCAGCCTCTCAGGGAGTGAACTATGCCCACAAACACCTGGGTCCAGTTTCAATTCTGTCTTTAGCTCTCAGAGGTCTCTTTCCCTCTATGACCTGTTTTATCACTGTAAATTGGTCCAGATGTGCGAGGGGATGGGGGCATTAGGTCTTCCTGTAATATAAGACATCATGGTTTTGGAAGTTCAGAAGGGAATGGTGGGAGGCTTCCTGGAGGAAGTGGGATCAGAGATGAGTTTGGTAGGTAGAACTGCAGAGGTGGCACATCTGGTGGAGGGAACTGTGCAACGAAGGCTTTATAGAACACTGAGTGTCTGGACCTGGGAGAAGGGCCTAGTCTGAGTTGGAGTCCAGCAGCTGGCAGTGACTGGGGTCTCGATGGGAGCCAGGGGACAGGAAGGTGGTTTTATTATGGATTTCCTGTCTCCTCAGCTGCCCACCACCATCCCACCTATAAACCGAAGACAATCACAACAGGCAAGTATTCCCTGTGGGATGGGGTAGTGGGAGGACCAGAGGTGCATAGAAAGACAGCTGGGCTCAGGTGCTGACATGCTCTGTAGTATCCTTCTCTCAGTTTTCCCTCCATCTATAGTTTCCACATCTGTAAAATGGGTTGGGTAAGACCTACCTCACAAAGCTGCTGTTAGGATTTAATGGGTCTGCATAGATAGGGCCCACTTCAGTGTCTGACGCACTGAAGGTGATCAAGAAATGGCGGCTCTCGAGGCTGGGGTTGTGGCTCAGTGGAGCACTTGCCTAGCACACGTGAGGCACTGGGTTTGACTCTCAGCACCACATAAAAAAATAAATAAGTTATAGGTATTATGTTCATCTACAACTAAAAAAGAAAAGGCAGCTCCTACCCGTTCCTAACCCTTGGACCTGAGAGTATGTGGCTCCAGTTACTAATAAGAGTATGTGGCTTCAGTCACTAATAAGTGACCATCTACTGCAACCTGCCGGACCAGAGGGTCCCAGAGCAGATTTCTGGCAGAGCAGAGGCAAGGACCCCACCCCTTGACTTCCACTGCCCCTCAGAGACTGGAGGTCACCAGACTTGGCCAGGATGGCTGAAGAGGCTCTTGGTTAATTAAAGCCGGAAACTGATCTCAGAGGCTGAATTATTGATGGCTCAGTTCTCTCAACTGAAGCCCCAGATCTACTGTGTGTGGCTTGTCTCTTCCCTTTTTGCTCTTCTTCCCTTGGCATCCTTCTCTAGGGATCCCTGAGCTTCGGCTGGGACCATCTTTTGCCCTTGGTATTCTTGGACCCCCTTATACCACACACACCCTCTGGGAAGTGGACCCTGCTCCCAGCTGAGTCCCTGTCATTGTCCTGGTATGTTCTGCCCACCAGCCCTGCCCTACACTGCCCTACCTGGCCCTACCCTGTCCTGGGCACCTGGCCCAAGGCCTGAAATGGAATCCCTTGTGGCACAGCTGGGAGTCACCCAAATCTAGCCTGGTAACTGTGGCCCTGAGGCTCTACTATCTGAGGAGAAGAGAAAGGGGCCCATCTTCTAGTAGGGTGTTGGTCTAGACCTCTACTTCTCCTGCTCCTTCTTCTCTGAGTAGGGGCTTGAGGCTTAGTGGTTCTGAAAAGGGACCATCTGCATTGGGATCTAAGCCCTAAGCACCCTTTCTCATCTAGTGGGTCTATGGGATTAGTAGGCCCAGAGAGGGTGTGCATGGCAGAAAGCCACAGAGCAACTTAGGAATAGGGCCAAGTCCTAACAAGCACTATCCCTTATACCAGGTACTTCCCCTCTGCCCATAGGTTCTGAGCTAGACTTCTGTGCCTGTGTTCCAGGCTCCATAGTGAGGACTGAGGCCCTGAGGTGTCCTGGGCCAGTTGTGAGGTGGAGCAGGGATCCTGGGTCCATGGTGGCCGGCTATGACCTCCACCCTGTCTCACTCCACAGGGAGCCCTGTGATCCCTGAAGCCCACAGCTCTGGCTTTGATGGTGCCAGCTTCATCGGGGGTGTTGTGCTGGTGCTGAGCTTGCAGGCCGTGGCCTTCTTCGTGTTGCGCTTCCTCAAGGCCAAGGATAGCACTTACCAGACACTGTGAGTACCTGGCAGCAGGGGAGTCCCAGCGCACTTCCCTTACTCCTCCCTGCCCAGGGAATTGTCTTCTCCACGGGGTAACCCAAAAGATAATGACTCCCTCCCCATGTCCCCTATGTGAGACACCCCCCTTCTCTCCTCCAATAGGGGCTCCCTGCTAAATGTTAGCTGGGACCAGGATTCAGCCTGGGCCCCAAGCTTGGCAGTTCAGCTGAGCCCCACTGTGTCTTTGTCCCCACATGCTGCCAGCAGGGAGGAGAACCAGTAGGTGATGGCTCAGGCAAGTCTTCAGCCAGTCTGGGGCCGTGGGCAGGAGCCAGACTGTGTGAAAGTGTGGTGTCCTCTGAGAAGGGAGCCGTGTGTGGCTCCGTGTGCCGTGTGCTGTGGGGTGGGTTGCTGCAGCCTGCGTTAAAGTGTTTGCTCTTCCAGCTTCACCTGCTCTCTGGGGGGTGAGAGTCTTTGCCCAACTTAGGTAGGGTCACCTCCCCTAAGTGTCTCTCTGTGTGGCCTCCTCAGAATCTGACCCCCTTGGGCCTGGTCTTCACACTGAGGGGAAGGAGGACTCAGAGGCTGCCCTCTTGGCCACTCTGTGGGCACTGGGGGTGGGAAAATCTTTGGCCATCTGTTTCTGGCCCCTGTGGACACTGAGCAGGCTCAGCACCCAATCCCTGACCTCCCCTCCTGTCCCGGGCCTGCCACCTACAGCTGAGAACATCCCTCAACCACCTCGTGTCTCATCTGTGGACCCTGCTGGGCCCCTCAGCCTGGTACTGGGGTCTGTGCCGCCTCTTCCTACCAACTTAGCCTGGGCTCTCCCCCCAAATAAAGGAACTGTTTCTGGTGCCTTGCTTCCTGTCCTGTGTCCGGGGTTGTGTGGATGGGGAAGGATATGGCCGTCATCTTCTCCTTCACAGGAATTCTGCCTAGGACTAGGACTGTTTTCTTTAAGATATTTTTGTGTCTTATACCTTTTGACCCCCTACCCCTACCCCTCTCCAGCAGGGGTATGGAGACTCAGAAAGGTAAATGTTTGCTCAGATTATGGCAGAGCTGGGGTTGGAATTCAGGCTCTTCTGACTTCAGAGTGAGCAGGATTCCCTTCTGAAGGTGTCTTCAGTCTCTGTCCCCTAAACTTATGTCTGTGCCCCAGGGCCAAGGAGGAGAGCCCCCAGGACTCTCAGGTGGCCATTTGTGGCCTTCCTCACCCAGGCTTCCTTGGAAAGCCCTGCCTGCATCCTTGGGCACAGAAGTCTTCTCTGACTCATAGCCCCCCAGGTCTTGGGTGCTCAGTGGGAACCAGGCTTGCAGCAGGGTCTCACTTCTTCGCATGCACAATGCCAAAGAAAGTTGAAAGGAAGAATAAGGATTGAGAGCTGAACTCAAGCATTTCATAGCTCTGGGCCTCAGTTTCCTCATCTGTGAAGTGCAAGTAACTGTCTCCATCTCAGTGGGATGTGGAGAAGGCTCAGGGCAGGTGCATGTATTCAGTTTGCTTCACTCCAGAGCACTTGATCCTCTTAAGTTGCACAGCCTGTGGGCTTACCCTCCCTCCATCTTGATCTCCCCAGGGATCTCTGGCTGCAGCTGGATGGTTGAAAGGACCCTCAGTTCCATAAATAGTTCAGCTGCTCTTTGGCCTCACCTGCCCACACATGGCACCCATGGCCTCACCTGCCCACACATGGCACCACCTCCTGAGGCTTCTCCCTCCCACCTTCACTTCCGTCAAAGCCCCCATCCTTGCAGACACCTGCCCTGCCTTTGGTCCTCCTCCAACTATGTGGATCTACTTCTGTTCCCAGCCTGCCTTGCTTCCTCTTTTCTCCAAGCCTTTGCACATGCAGTTCTTCCTGTTGGGACCACCCTGGCTTCTCCCCACAGGACTATTTCTTTGMCTTGCCCTCCTTTATCGAATGTTTTTCTTTCAAGAACACTAAATGCCTATGAAGGGAAAAAAGGACTATATAGAAGTTTAAAGAGTGAGAATCACTCCTCTCTCTCCCTCCTTCCCCAGAAATGACTATGGTTAACAGTTGTTCCAGACCTTTCTCTGTGAATTCATTATGTATATACACGTTTAGCATTTTTACAACACAGTGTGATCGTGCTGCACATGCTGTTCTGTGACTTTCCCTTGACATTAGATTCATCCTATGACTTGTCCAAATGGTCATATTTAAAAAAAAATTTTGTAGTTGTAGATGATCAGAATGCCTTTATTTTATTTGTTTAAATATTTATTTTTTAGTTTTAGGTGGACACAATATCCTTAATTTACATTTATGTGGTGCTAAGGATGGAATCCGGTGCCTCGTGCATGCTAGGCGAGCACTCTATCACTGAGCCACAATCCCAGCCCTTATTTGCTTCTTTTTCTATAGTGCTAAGGATTGAACCCAGGGCCTTACAGGTGTTAGGCAAGTGGTCTGCCACTGARCTACAACCCCAGACCTCAAATGATCAAAATTTATTTGCCTGGATCCCATCAGTGCTGGCTGGGTCATTTCCATGATGGTTTTGTTTTTTTGGTGTTTCATCCAACCCAGAGTCTCAAGCATCATAGACAAGTGTTCTGCTACTGAGCTACACCTCCAGCCCTCAGGTGAACTCACAGAGAAGCCATGCTGAATAGGCTTGTCTGCAGACCTCAACACATGTGAAGGAGGGTTTGGGGAGGGCAGACTCCTAGACTGGAGTTGCAGTCTCAGGCCTCCCTCTCATGCTTCCATCCTGTTAGGCAAACTTGGCCTCCATTTCACCTCATACCTCCTTATACCTCAGACCCCACCTGCCCCCAGAATTAGGCCCRGCACAGGGCCAGCCCTCAGAAAAGGTTTACTGCATGAATGAGTGACCATGCCTTCTCTTTGCTCCCCTGCCRCCTGAAGTACTCGTCCAGCTCAGGCCTCACCTCTCACAGATAAAGCATGGCTGCCACTTCTAGGCCCCTGCACAGGCTGCACTCAATTGGCCTATGTTGACAGTTGTTKTCTAGGCCCAGGGACTCAAGCTACAGTCACTTTCCTAAGGTTGCTCCTCCCTGGTGGCGGGTATTGGGAGAAAGCTCTGTGGCTTTAGGCATATAAGTGCCAGGGAAAACAAAAGTCATATTCCATCTCTGGGCCTCAGTTTTCCTCCTCCTTTATTCATTCATATGAATATTATGAATCTGTACATATATAAATACATATATACATGCTGGGGTTGAACCCAGGGCTTTAAGCATGCTGAGRACATGTTCTGCCACCAAGCCACACCCCTAGCTATTTTACCAATGTTTATTGAGTATTTGTTTTGTACCAGGTTTATTACYCAGGGCCAATAATAAGGACTGAGGCCTTCCAATATGAGGATTGGAAGGGATGTACAAACCATACTCAGTGTAACATCAGAGTACAGTAGGTACCCAATAGATGGTAGCAGTGGTCTCTATTAATAGTGTTAACAAGGATCAGAAAGGACCAGGAAAGTGGAGATGGCCTTAGAGCTGGACTTTCACAGACAGGTGGAGCTTCACAGGTGAAGATGAAGAAGGAGCGTTCCAGATGGAAGGCACAGAATGAGCTGAGGTTTATTTCATTTTATTATTTATTTATTATTGTTACTATTTTTTGGTACAGAGRATTTAACCCAGGGGTGCTTAACCACTGAGCAACACCTCAGCCCTTTTTGTATTTTATTTAGAGTCAGGATCTCACTGAGTTGCTTAAGGCCTTGCTAAGTTCCTGAGGCTGGCTTTGAGCTTGAAATCCTCCTGCCTCAGCCTCCTGAGCCACTGGGATAACAGGCATGTGCTACCATACCTGTGAACTAAAGTTTAAAGCTGAGAAAATTCATATGAATATAGAGATCTGGAGAGATGACTGGGGAGCCCTGGAAGTCAGGATCAGAAGTTGGACTCCATTCTGGCTGGACAAGACAAGGACGATACCCATTCTCCCTAGGGCTGGGAAAGGAAATGCCCTCTGGTAGCATCAGCCTGTGTGGGGTGTCCCTGGGGGACAATGGGAGGAAGTCTTACTTTATACCTTCCCACCAGTCTGGTTTCTTATAAGCTGACATTCTTTCTCTGGTGGCCTCAGCAAGATGGGCCTACAGTGGACCTTTCTTTCCTTATTCTCCTCCTATTTAGGGTCCTGCCTGAGTACCCATGACCACCCCAGCTTCCCAGGTAGRGGTTTAGTGTGCTTTCTCGATCAACCCTCCTCTTATTTCCTGCCTTCCCCAAGGAGACAGGTTAGAGTTTGACCATTGGGGCTCTGCATGCTAATTTATGCAAATAAGATAGAAATAGTGCAAAACCTTACCCGCTAAAGAAGCAAGTGCCCTGACAGCTAGAATCTGGGAGGTGGAAAAAGAACTGCAGAGAGATCTGGGAGAAACATGTCCAAACTGTGCCCACGGACCCTGTGTCTCCCTGCAGAACCCAGGGAACTGAAAGCCAGCAAAGTTTTTGTCCTGGAACCCCAGGAAGTACTGGGGAGAAAGGAGCTCCAGGTCCCCAAGGTGAGATGTGTTGGGGAGCTGGCAGGGCCCTTTGGTTAACCTGGCAGCCAGGGTACAGGTGTGAGGATGTAGCAGTTGCAGTTTGTGCTGAGGAGCCATAACAAAGGGACAGGAACCCTTTCGGTCCCAGGCTCTTGATGGGTAGGTACGCAGCATCCTAAGATCTGCCAGGTAGGTGGTATGGTCCTCAATTTACTGAGGAGGAAAGTGAGACTCAAGACAGGGTAAGTTGTTAAGTCTCCCATCACAGAGCCAGTAAAAGGTGAAAAGGGGATTRGAACTTCTAGCTCCAAATCTCGTTTCTTTGGGGGCATGAACAGGACTCAGGGTATCTCTGCCTCTGGGAYTTCAGGGCAGCCTGGACCTCAGCAAGATGGACCCCAAGGGTGAACCTGGTGAGTATGTGGGGTCAGGGCCTCCCCGTTTCCTTTGCTCTATCCCCACACTCAAGGGTGGATGTTTCTGTTGCGTCTGTAGCAATCAGTTATGACTGCCCGCCCACGGGGATGGGAGGCTGGGAGGGTGGGGAGAATTAGGAGAAGGACCTGGGCTCTCCCCGTTAGTGGTTATGGCCACTCCCTCAGGGGTGCTCAGACCTCAGAGCCAACACATGGTCCCTCTCTGGGGCAGGAGATCCAGTGAAACTGTTCTGGTGCCAGGAGGGTGGGGCTGCCTTCGTGGGAGTTGGGAACTTGGAATTAGGCAGTGTGGGTGTTGGTGGGCCCCAGGCGTGGCCAAGCCCTCCTTAGTCCTCCTTATAGTCCCTTCAGAGGCCCAAAGGAGCAAGAGGGCTTCTGAAGTCCCCACTTGTTCCAGTGACTGGGTGGAGGAATTTGGGAAATAACCTGCCCACCCCACACTCCATCTCCCCTTTCTCAGGTCCCAGTATCCACCAAGAGCTGCTGAGCCAAGGCACCACCTTGAGTGGCTGGTACCATCTGTGCCTACAGAGGGCAGGAAGGGCAGGAAGGGCAGGAAGGGCAGGGTCCATCCAGCCTTTTGTGACACAACACTGCTGGGGGTGGCTGATTGGTGAATGAGAAAAGGGGCTGGAAGACCTGATCCAATGAGCACTTCTCCCCCATGACCCCTAGGGGGAGCCAAAGCCCATTGGAGCAAGATACCCTTAGAGGAAGTCACAGACAGGTGGTGGTTGAGCTCCCCACAGTGCCTGAAGAAGTCTGAGAGGGCTTCATAGAGGAGGTGACATTTGAAAGGACCTTGAAGGCTGTGTAGAAGTTTTCTAGACAGATAAGATGCAGAAGGGCTTTCCAGGTAGAGGTAAAGATAAATTTATGAAAGCAGGAGAGTACCAGAGGGTTTAGGGGCACCAAGGGAGGGAGCTAAGAGTAGATGTGGGTGGTCAGCTATGGTCTTTTGGTGTGACCAGACATGCACGGAGGACCTCTGCAAAGGCCAGCTCTGGGAAGGCATTAAATTATTGACTGAAGAGTTGTGGGGAGAAATGGGGAGCCCTGGAAGAGATTTAAGCCGAAGAACCAGGTCAGACTTGTATTTTAGAAAGATGACTTGGCCAGGTTTGGTGGCACACACATGTAATTCCAGCAACTCGGGAGCCTAAGGCAGAAGGATTGCAAGTTCAAGCCAGCTTCCTCATGTTTGTGAGGCTCTTAGCAAGACCCTGTCTCAAAATAAAAAATAGAAAGGGCTAGGGATATGGCTCAGTGGTTAAGCGCCGCTGGGTTCAATACCCAGTGCCATAAAAAAAAGAAAAAGGAAAAAAAAAAAAAAGAGAAGTCTTGGGCTACATCATGGAAGATGAGTTGAAGTAGGGAACAAGGTGGAGAAGGAGTCAGGTGTATTGGTGCACACCTATAATCCCATACTCAGGTGGCTGAGGCAGGAGGATTGCTCAAGGCCAGCCTGGACAACTTAGTGAGACACTGTCTCAAAATGAAAAATAATAGTAATTTTTAAAAGTGCTTGATCTGGGCTGGATCGTGCATGCCTGTAATTCCAGAAGCTTGGGAGGCTGAGGCAGGAAGATCTTGAGTTCAAAGTCAGCTTCAGCAACTTAACAAGGCCTTAAGCAACTCGGTGAGAACCTGTGTCTAAATAAAATATAAAATGGGACTGGTGGGGGGGTGCACTGGGGTTGTGGCTCAGTGGTAGAGCACTTGCCTAGCATGTGTGAGGCACTGGGTTCAAATTCTCAGAATCACATAAAAATAAATAAACAAGAGGCTGGGGTTGTGGCTCAGCAGTAGAGCGCTTGCCTAGCATGTGCGGGGCGCTGGGTTCGATCCTCAGCATAATAAAATAAAATAAAGGTTTTGTGTCCAACTACAACTAAAAAACCCAAAATATTTAAAAATAAATAAATAAACAAACAAACAATAATAAAGGTATTGTGTCCATCTACAACTAAAATATGTTTAAAAAAAAAGCAGGGGATGGGCTGGGGATGTGGCTCAAGCGGTAGCGCGCTCGCCTGGCATGCGTGCGGCCTGGGTTCGATCCTCAGCACCACATACAAAAAAAAGATGTTGTGTCCGCCAAAAACTAAAAATAAATATTAAAAATTCTCTCTCTCTTAAAAAAAATGCAGGGGTGCAGGGGATGTGGCTCAATGGTTAAGTGCTCCTGAGTTCTATCCCTGGTACCAAAAAAGAAAAAAAAAGTGCTTGGGATATAGCCCTGTGGTAAAGCACTAGCATCCCTGGGTTCAACCCCGACTGCTGTAAACAACAATGACAAAATATTTAGGAGGGAAACTCCCAGGGCGAAGGAGTGCTTGACCTGGAGGAGGAAGATTGGAGGGGTGGATATCAGGGTAAGGCCAGAAGTCCAGTTTGGACTGGGGTCAATATCTCTGCTTTAAATATCTTCTTGGTTTTTATCACATAGTCAATGAAAGCACATTATCGTGAGTCTGACTCCTAATAGACTAAGGGTCTCCTGAGGGAAGGGACAGTGTTTCTATCATTTCAGTCTCCCCTAGGAATGCAAGGTTTTGGTATGCATTTGAGTGTCAGTAAAAGTTAATAAGGAAGCCTGGCATGGTGGGCACACCTGTAATCTCAGCGGCTCAGGTGGCTAAGGCAGGAGGATCGCAAGTTCAAAGCCAGCCTCAGCAATTTAGCAAGGCCTTAAGCAACTCAGCAAGACCTTGTCTCTAATAAAATATATTTTAAAAAAAGAGCTGGGGATGTGGCTCAGTTGTTAAGCACCTCTGGGTTCAATCCCCAGTACTAAAAAAAAGAAAAGAAAAAGAAAAGAAAAAGTTAATAAGGAAATCAAGTTTATCAATGTATTTACAAGAAAAGCTTCCTTGAAGAAATTGTTTATCCACTAGGCCCCAATCCAAAGAGAAGAGAAACATCAGCTCACCTCTCCTATTCACTCAACCTCAGCGGACACGTACCCTTATTCCCCAGCACCCCCTGCCCAGGCAGGAGTAGTACCTGGTATGCCAGTCTTCTCTGCCTCCGCAGGTGTTTCCAAGGTGACAGGATGGTTCTGTGGATTTATTTCATTTGTGGTCATCCTACAAAGCAGGTTTTGGSAGCTAGGAGTCTGAGTTCTGGCTGGGGAATGAGAACTTACACCAGCTCACCCTTCAGGGGGAGTTCCCAGCAAGGTCAAAGGGCTCTAAGGGTACGGTCTTCCATCCCTCCCAAGTCCACACCTGAGAATCTGAGCTTCCTTCATTCCAGCTCCCCCCTTTCTCCCAGGTACCTGGGTAGAGCTGGAAGGCTTTAATGGCTCCATCTCCCCACTGTGACTTTGTCTTGTGGGGGAGGCAGACTGCTCCCAGCAGGCACTGAGCAAGTTCTCAGAGGCATTGCAGGTGAGTGAGTCTAAGGTGGGGCCCCGAAGGAGGGGAGGCAGGGGGCTGGTTTCTTTCAGAGCATTGCCTAGGTCTCTAGGGCAATTTCCCCCCCTCTGTGGATCTCAGTTTTTTTATCCAAGAAAAGACAACCCTGAGACAGGGTGGTACCGGAAAGAAAGAATTAGGGCTCTGGAGGCAAATAGACCTGAGGGCGATTTCAAATTCACCACTTACTCTGTGATCTTGAGCAAGTCCCTTCTGKGTCAGAGCCTCGGCTTCCTATAAAATGGGTGGGGAGGAGTTGGGGCCATAGCTCAGGGCAGAGCCCTTGCCTAGCAAGTGCAAGGCCTTGAGTTCAATCTCCAGAACAGGGGTGGGGTGAGGGTGGGTGGGGTGGTGGCTGGGAATGGGCCAGGAGGCAGGGTGGGGCTGTGGGCACCATCTGAGGCTCCTGGAGTGTTAACATGCTCTGCTTTGGGAAAGGAACTAGGGCAGTTCTCTGTCAGAGAAACAGACTGTTGGGGAGAGATCTGAAAGGGGGAAGTGGTGATGGGGAGGTGCCTCAGGGGAGCCCCCTTTCTTACCCAGGCACACGAAGTTCCTCCCAGCTCTCCTTGGTATAGATGCTTGGGCTGTAAATGGGAGTGAGAGGAGACAAAGGATGGAGGGAAACTAGGGATTCTGGAGAGGACAAGGCAGGGGGAAGAGTTGGTGACTCTGGAATCAATCATAAATGCAAGTCCCACTGCCGTTGTGACTAGCTGAGTGACAGTGGCAAACACCTGGCCCCTTATTCCGCTAATGTCTTATGGGGTTGGTAACATCCACCTTGCAGTTGCTTGAGACTTTCTCAGGATAATATCCCTAAGGGTGCCAGGCATGGGGTGGATCCCTACGGTGCCCTCCAGGAAGGGACTGCAGGAAGGGACTCCTTGAGCTTCCACAGCAGGAAGCCTTTTACCATCTGACACCGACCATGACTCAAATGGGAACAGCTGCTCAGAGGTTGTCCCTGGTGCCTGGTGGTATGAATCCTGTTATCAATCCAATCTCAACAGTCACTATGCAGTGTCTGAGGCCACTGCCCACAAGCATGGCATCAATTGGGCCTCTAGCTGAGTTGTGGGTCACCCCTACCACAGGGTTCCAATGATGCTCCACTAGGGTGCCCTGCAGTGCCCTTATCTCTCCCGAACAGCTTCCGGACCCTCAACCACCTCCCCACTGCAACCGCCTCTGTTTCCCTGTCCACATTTAAAAATAAATCATTTTAACCCTTTTCAGGCTTTCAGGATTCTTTCAGTTACTGGGTAAAGAGGGCAGAGCAGGAACATAAGTCTCAGCTCCATGATGGATTTCCTTCCTATGAGGAAGATGGAAGGGAAACTCCCAAGGTAAAGAGGTTTCTCTGGAGGTGTGCAAAACAAGAACAGTGGGGCATCTAGCAGAGGGATTGGAAGAGATTCAAGAAGCCACTGAACAAGTCTGGGCTCTCTGGGCCTGCAAATGATGGTTTTGTGGTAGAAACTGCATAGCTTTCTCACCCTCTCTGTTGCTCATGCTTGTCCCTTGTAAATTGTGTTTCCCACCCCAGTCTGTAATGGGTCAAGTCCTCACCCTCTGCTGCTCCTTGCCTAACCCATTGAGAGCTCCTTTGAATCCAAGAAGAAGGTACATTTTTTTCTTCCCATGATGAAACAGCCCAATGAAACAGTAGCCACTGAGCTAGCATTTTTTGAGCAGTATATTCGCCCAATGCCACAGCATTTCAAGTAGTGGCAGAAGCAAATAGTTAAGAGTTGGACAGTCCTAGGTTTGCACCCTGTTCTGTTATATAGCCGACTGATCTTACACAAGTTATTTAACCCCTCCAAGTCCTCAGTTGCTGATTTCAAGGTTCACTGAGGTTACACAGCTTGTTGTCTCAGTCACTAATTCACATTAGAAAGAGATTCTTAGGGATGTGAGGGTGGGACACTGTTAGAAAAAGGGCTGAGGTTTCTAGGGTTCTCTTCAAAGGATGAGTAGAGAAATGTTTAGAGTAGAAGGTGCTTCTCAGGCCTCACTGTCATCTTCTGGATAGAAGTCAAAGATCAATAGGCCTCCATAGCTGATGAAGTCCTGGGAAAAGTAGCACTCAAGACAAGAGCTCAGACATCAAGCCCCATTCCAGGGCTGGATTCTGGACACCCACTATTCATCGTGTTTTGCATACCCCCATGACTTGAGAACCATTAATTCAACAGACATCTGTACAGCAGGGCCTGCAAATCTTGCTTGTTCTCTAGCCTGGGCCTGGGCACACATGAGTGCCTGCAGTGAGCAGTCCATTGAGGTTGGCGTGCACTAGGACTCAAGCTGTTCCGGAAGAGGCCAGTATCAGAGGTTCTGGCGGGAGAGAAGGGAAGGGAGAGGCCGCGTCCCCAGCCGCTGGGGAGCGGTGCTGCCCCAGGGCCGAGGGTGGAGCTTTCCTGGTAGGGAAAGGGCTGGGCCGGGCCTACATGTGAGGGCAGGACAAAGTGACGGCCGGCGGTCCCCTGAGAGGTCTGGGTGACAAACACTGCCGGCCTGATTCCCGGGTTCCCCCTGCAACTCTGAGCTGCGGATCACCGAGTACCCCAGATTCTCGGAACTCAATCCCGGATTTCAGATCCTCAGGACCTTGCAAGTCTGAGCTCAGATTTCTCCCTGGACTCCAGATTTCCGGAACAGGACGTCCGACTGATCTCCGGATCCCCGGATCCCGTAGGAGATTCTCGGATCTCGACTGGATTCCCAATCCCGAGATCCCTGGACCCACCGCCCCAGCCTCGTGTCCTGCCCCAGTTTCCCAGGACCCGGTACGCCGCGCCTGAGCGCCCTCGCATGGCGGGGCAGTGCACCGGGTCCGGGACCTTGGAGCGAGCGGGCAGTTGCTGGCAGGACCCGCTGGCCGAAGCGCTGAGCCGGAGCCGGCCGCTAGCTACCCCATCAGGCCGGAGCTGCGCTCGGAGCCGGCCTCTCAGCGTGGTCTACGTGCTGACCCGGGAGCCGCGGCCCGGGGTGGAGCTTGGGGCGGGAACCCAGGCGGAGCCGCTGCCTCTCCGTTGCCTGCGCGAGGCTTGCGCGCAGCTCCCAGGGCCACGGCCACCGCCACAGCTGCGCAGCCTGCCCTTTGAGACCTTGGCCCTGGGAGACACGGCCGCGATGGACTCCTTCTACAACGCGGGTGAGCGCGACGCGGGCGGGGCTTAGGATATTGGGCGGGGAAAGGGGCGGAGCCGGCGAGTCCAGGGCGGGGCCGAGTTGGGGGCGGGGTCTAGGGACATAAGGTGAACTAAACCTAAAGGATTTGAGGCGGTGCTATGGAAGTTGTGGAATTTAGGGGCTCTGGAGACCCTAAATTGGATTTAGGGATCCAGCCCCTGTTCCAGGGTTGGGGTTGGCGCTTAAGAACCCTTTAGTAGGGGCCGGGCCTAGCGAGCGGGGCGGGGCTAGGGCGGGGCCGAGAGGCTGGGGCGTGGCTGGGGGCTCGGCGGCGGTTCTGYGGCGCGTGGGCGGCTGGAGACTTGCTTCGGGAGGTCTAAGTGCCAAGCTCTCGAGGGCGAATCCTGGGAGGGGAGCTTGGACTAGGGCTCCTCGTGCGGGGCCGGAATTTAGAGGTCGTAGCAATACTACTTCCAAGGACCGGGGTAAAGAGGAGAAAAGGAAAGCGAAGGGACCCATCAGGATTGGATTCTGGGCGAAGGGGCTTAGTTTCAAGACAACACAATGATGAGAGAATGGGAGGGACAGGGACAGTCTGGGGCGGGGCCAGAGGCTGCAATTCTACCGCCTACCCGGATGCCGGGTCTCCTATCCTTATTTGTTCATCCAAGAGTCCGGGAACCGTGCTTCCTGGACGTCCATGAAATTGCAGCCCAAATAACTAAAAAGATTAAGAGAAATTGCAGCCTAAAAAACAAATACTGACCTGATCTTGAAGACACAAAGACACACAGTCATGGATAGACTCACAAATCGCATCCATGTTGACTCAGAAGGACCCCTACAAACTTGTCATTCAAAGACACAGTAAGCTACACATATACACATACAGGCACAGCTTTGTCTACTTAGGCCAATGGTGCAGACTGCTTTCAAGAGGCTAGGTTGAGGATCAGGGATGGGACTTCTGTGTACAGCTCCTGCTTCCCACACAGCCTGGAACAGGCTCTGAGGTGGAGCACAGCCTGGCCCCCTTCTCTGGGCAGTGATTGCAGGCTCTGAGCAGTGGGGTGAGTGTCGTACCTAGTGAGCCCTCAGAAGCACCACAGGTATCAGTACTGTGTATGCAGTAGGGAGGCCATAAAAGGGAGAAACAGGCCCAGAGCAGAACTGGACCTGACTGGGGTCCCTCAGCAAGGCAAGCCCAGCTGCAGTGCATCCCAGGCTACTTCCCCACCAAGCTGGGCTTCAAGACTTAGAGCCTGCACCTCTGTGCCCACAGACGTTGTGGTCCTGGAGGTGAGCAACTCCCTGGCACAGCCCTCCCTATTCTACCACCTTGGTGTGCGTGAGAGCTTCAGCATGACCAACAACGTGCTCCTCTGCTCCCAGGCCGAGCTCCCTGACCTGCAGGCCCTCAGAGTAGGTGGCCTGTGGCTGGTGGGGCAGGTGCAGGGTTGGGGTGAGGCCTTCCTAGAATACTAATATTTGTCTGCCTCCTGCAGGAGGATGTTTTCCAGAAGAATTCGGTGAGAAGAACCATTCTTCATTCTGATGTACCCTTTGACCTCTGACCCCCACTGGTCTTCCTGGCCTCCTCAGTTACCTCTGACCTCCCTAAAGTCCCTTGACATCCATGTGACCCTGTGTTCCCTATGGCCTCCTTTCATGAAGTGTGCCCCTTTCCTGCTATTCCGTTCCTCACTGGTACTGACCTCTGACCCCCTTCCTGTCTCTCTCTATAACACTGTGCTGACCTCTGACCTCCACTGATTTCTGTCTCCTTCCCACCAGGATTGTGCTGGTAGCTACACACTGATCCCCTACGTGGTGACAGCCACTGGTCGGGTGCTATGTGGTGATGTGGGCCTTCTGAGGGGCCTGGCTGATGGGTTGGTTCAGGTTGGGGTGGGCACCGAGGCCCTGCTCACTCCCCTGGTATACCGGCTTGCGCGCCTGCTGGAGGCCACTCCTACAGACTCCTGGTAATGGGGCCTTCTCAGAGGGTACACCAGGAAGCGGCTGGTGAGGGTACAATGGGCTGTGGCTGAGGGACAGGCCCACCATTCTTTCTTCCTCCCTCCCCTGGCCTGGACATCAGTGGCTATTTCCGGGAGACCATTCGGCAGAATATCCGGCAGGCTCGGGAGAGGTTCAGTGGGCAGCAGCTGCGGCAAGAGCTGGCTCGTCTGCAGCGGAGACTGGACAGTATGGAGTTGCTGAGCCCTGACATCATCATGAACCTGCTGCTTTCCTACCGTGATGTGCAGGTGTGAGATGTTCTGAGGGGCAGTCAGTCAGCTGAGGGGCATTTGTTGTCAGACAAACCCAAGTTTAGTTCCTGTCTGTGCTTCTTGTTCACTGGTGGCTTTAAGCAAACTCTCTAACCTCTCTGAGCCTCACTTTTCTTGTTTGTGAAATGATATCACTGACTCTCAGGGCAGTTGTTAAGTTTGGGGACACAAAGCATGGAGCACACAGTGGACTTTCCACTTGAGGTCCAATCTGCATACCTGCTGAGCCTTGAGGGCAGTGTTCAGAGGGTCAGAGTGGGATGTCAGCTRTGGGACAGGATCCTTGCTCAGAGTTTTCCTCAAGGGCTGGAGGCTCCTCATGCTGGTGCTTACTGTTCTCTTACACAGGACTACTCAGCCATCATCGAGCTGGTGGAGACCCTACAGGCCTTGCCCACCTGCGATGTGGCTGAGCAACACAATGTCTGCTTCCACTACATATTTGCCCTCAACCGGTGAGTGGTGGATCAGGGCTTGGGTCAGAGCCACATGACGGTTTCTGTGGCCTGGATCTCTGCTTGTAAAGATCATTGCTGGCTGGGACACTGGTCTTCAGGGAATTTGCTGACCAGCCAAGAGGTCCTTGTTGTTCTAGTTACTGCAACCTGGTTACAGCTATCCAAGGTCACTGCTCCTTAGAGCCATTATATCTAGGAATCACTTCCACCCGGGGTCAGTACTTCT